TTAGCAAGCATGCATGTTTTATTAAAATTAAGATAAATATTAGATAAAAATTAAGCTATAGGTTTTATAATGTATGCTTCTGGGGATAAGTAACTATTCACTGGATATTGTGTCAGTTTTAATGCGTTCACTGTCTATTCAGGACTGACTTTGGAGTTAGACAAGTATATTACTACTGAAACAGATAATTTCCTCTTTAATCCCATAAGTCTCTATAAAAATAAGCTTCTTGGAATCACTGTTGAGTAGAGGAATGTTAATCCTTTAGGGTAATGTATGTTAAACAGTTGTACCTAACCAGTCTACAGATTGAAAGTATCAAGTAGAATAATGAAGCATAAAAGTACACATTTGAATAGACACATACTTATGACATTTATGAATGCTAAAGATAAAGTGAAAAGTCTTAAAACTTGGAGAGGAGAATAAGAATCCTACATGTTATATATACAGAAAAATGACAATCACTAGACATTAGATAAAACAGGAAGCAGAAAAGGAATAACTCCAAAATTATTGGGTAAAATTATTTTAAATCAATAGTTGCACACTTTTGCCAATTATCATTTTTAATTTAAGGTGCAAAAGAATCTTCACATCTCTAGCTATGTAGGGAGTTTGCCACTAACCCTGTCATCACACTTCAAGAGATGGTGATATGAGAAACTAGCAGCTAAATATATACCAGGTAAAAAAATTTTAGAAAACCAAAAAACAAAAAACTTGATGAGATATTAACAAAAATAGTAAGCAATGATTCTTCAAAACTAAGAAAAATTCATTTATATTAATAATTCTTGATTATATAATAATATACCTAATAAAGCAAAATATTGTAAATTTCATTTTTAATGTGAGGTGGGTCTATACCTGTGCATCTTGGAAGCATCCAACTACCCAGCTCTTCTGATTTCAGGTAAGGCCATTTAATTTGGGTGTTCTGATTTAATAAGTCCTCCCTTTTTTCCATATACCTAAATCATGTTCTAAGAGCTTTTTTTATTTTGATATCTGATTGTCTAATTCCTTTGTATACCAGCAAATAGATTCTGAACTCAAGCAAATAGTCTCTATTTACTGGGACCTAAAATACTCAAATCTAGACTTTACATAAAATTTAAGCAGAAATTGAGATTTAGGGGGGCTAGCCCATGCAGGTTTTTGGTCTTGCAGTAGCATAATTATTTGATGGAATTATTATTTTTTATAGCAGTGTGGTTGGCTTTAACTGGCCACCCTGAAGAAGTAGCTTTAGGTCTTAGCTTAGAACAGGCTGGAGAACGAAAACAGAGAAATAATTTATTGCAGATGAAGGTGACAGGTATAAAAGAAGTGGTGAAATTCTCTAGTTGTTAATAATGCACATCCTGGGTGGGGGCCAGTGCTATGATAGGTTGGACCTGAGTAGGTTGGATCTCCACTTGTGGCGCTGGCATCCCATATGGGCTCTGGTTTGAGACCTGGCTGCTCCACTTCTGATCTAGCTCTCTGTTATGGCCTGGGAAAGCAGCAGATAATGGTCCAAGTGCTTGGGCCTTGCACCCACGTGGAAAACTCAGAAGAAGCTCCTGGCTGCTGGCTTTGGATCAGCCCAGCTCTGCTGTTGCAACTGTTTGGGGAATGAACCAGTAGATCTCTCTGTCTCTCCCTTTATCCGTCTATATCTCCCTCTCAAATAAATAAATAAATAAATCCTTTAAAATATGTGCATCTTGGAGAAGAGAAGGTTGATTATTTTTGTTAAATAGGAGAAGGTGTCTAAAGTCCAGTGAACCCAAGTAGAAGATGGTGCTCCAGCTCTCAGATCATGCCACCTCCAGGGGGAGTCCACATTAAGAATACTATAGAATCACAGTATAAATCAGGAGATTTAACACTGAGAATAAGTCAGTCATCCAGTGGAGATGACAAAGGAGACTATGGTAAGCCTGATCAAATCTAAAGGGGACTATCAAGAAAATTCATGTGAAAATAGTTTAAGAATTACTAGGCAAGTGTGAGTTTGACAAAATTATTGTAGGTATTTGTGGTACTCAATATAAGCCTATTAGAGAAATTTAAGGAATTGAAAAATAGAGCAAAAACGAGGCTGACTCATAAAAGTGAACTTTAGGCTTAGGTTAGATGTTCTGATGAAAGAACAGCCCCTGTGTAATAATATCCAGGAAGATAAAAGTGCACTAGGATTTCTTGACTGGTGAGTGAGTGCTCTAGCCAATCCAGTATTTTTGGAATTCTATTTTTCATTATGGAACAGGAGATACAAATAAAAGCTATTATCTAGACCAGGAAATAAAGTTAAGAAAAAACAAAGGAATTAAAGCAGGAATACTTGAACAGATTTTAAAGGCTGTTCCAAATATGCATGTTAAACTTACTGGATAGTAATTATGAGAGTTTTGTTTAAAATTGCCAACGTGAACTTTATAGGAATTAGGAATGTTTTGAATGCTTCCCTCTGAAATGATATCCCTGTATGTTCTTTATAAAATTGGTTCATAGGAGCCACACTGTATTACAGCTGGTTACAGCCCTGGCCTGCAGTGCCAGTTCGAGTCCCAGCTGCTCCATTTCCAATCCAGCTCTCTGCTACGGCCTAGGAAAGTGGTCGAGGATGGCCCAAGTCTTTGGGTCCCTGTACCCATGTGGGAGACCTGGAGGAAGCTCCTGGCTTCTGGCTTTGGATTGGCTCAGCTCCGTCTATTGTGGTCATTTGGAGAGTGAATCAGTGTAATGGAAGACCTCTCTCTCTCTGCTCCTCCTTCTCTCTCTTGTAACTCTGACTTTCAAATAAATAACTAAATCTTAAAAAAAAATGAAGTCATAAAAAAAGTGATGGCTTAAAGCACAGTAAAAGAGAATATGGCATCTTTTAAAGAAAGAAAACTGGAGTAGTTTTAATGAAATTATAGACACTTAAGAAAATTCAAAACAAACTGACAATATTCAATAATAAATTAACCAAATTAATAATTGAATTGAGAATTTAATAATTAAAATTTTGGGTAGATACTCATAAACTTTGAAAACAAGTTATATAGAAGTAACTGATCTTGTCTATCCAATAAAACTCATTCCATGCAGACATTTAACTCTCTTACAAATCAGAAGCCCAGTGCAATGTTATGTATGTCCTGTATCAGCAACAGCACTTACTCATACTTGTCTAAGTCTCATAGACGCTGGTTGCATATTTATGCTTATATGGTTCTTGCTATGGGTTAGCCAGTAATATGGGACATACTTTTCTATTTTCATTAATTAACTATCCTGCTTCATTGGAGCCATTTTTAATACATATGCTATTATTCTGCAGGAACTAATCATATCAGGAAGTGCTAGCCATTACTGCCTTATGGAAAAATCCTAATGTTCATCATAACATGAAGGAGAAGTATTACATTTAATAAATTATGCAGTTATATTTTCCCAAAACATGAAATAAAACACAAAACCAAGCATGATAAGATCTTCAAACTAAGTACAGAACTAAAATTTTCTGGATGAGAAAGAATGCGACTAATTCTATAAAATGAATATCAAGTCAATACCAAGTTAATAATAGCTAAAATTTAAATTAGTTTCAATCATTGTACAATTAGACTGTTTACCTTTAGTAACTGTTTCAAAAGAGTTTAGTTAGCCTGGTCTTATAAGAAAACAAGGAACTACATGGTGAAATGGCTGAATGTGCAATTGTGAAAGTTGGTTAGATTGCCATTACTTGTAAATATGTCTTTATGGGAGAAATGTGAAATAACTATTAAGGGAAATAAATCATATCCATTGCTAGGCTGAGTTGGGATTAATCATAATCTTTTAGAGTTGAAATTAAAAAAAAACTCATCAAAGGATAACACTGTTAGAAGAATATTATCTCAACAAGCAACTGCAAAGTTAAAAATAGTATCCCTTAATAGGTCTGAACAAACAGTATACTTGAATGAGATTATGTTAATTTTAAAACATATTTTTGAATGATCAATAGCTAAATGTTATTCAATTTGAGTATTTAGTTGCAGTAAAGAAACAAGAAATAATTTCAAAGTACTTTTTTGGGCTGTATTTCGACTAAATCTAGCGATATGTCTAATTTTACTAAGTGGCAAATTTACTGTGTAAGTATTTCCCCACTAGTAAACCTTACAAACTAAGTAGGAAGGTAAAATCTGAAGTAAATTGATTAGCCAGTAAAGTATCAGAATATATCTGTCACAGAATGATGACTAGGGAAATGAATATTATTTCCTAACAAGAAGGAGAATGTGGAAACCATGAATCAATAACGTAAGTATCTGAGAGAGAGGTAAAGGACTAACCAACCAATAGATTCCAGAGTTTAGAAAATGCCTTTGTGTATAAAGAAAATATTCTAAAGGTACTGTTTTGCCACTGACAGTGTTACTATACATTTTAAACTGAGTTATTTATGGACCCATTTGCTTTTCAACAGTTACCAGGACTCAAAATTTGTCAATTTTGCAAGTCATGTAAATGTTCCCATATTATATGTGAATGAAAAAGATACATTATCAGTTTCCTGACAGATGCAAAGCAATCTGCTGCAAGTCTAAAATAAGTTTACAGACAGTCAGTCAGAGAAACATTTCTCCTTTTAAATAATTCCTTTCCATGAAAGGGAACAAAAAGTTGGGTGTTATACTCTATCATTTTATCAGACCAACTAAGTATTGAATTAAACATTGAATAGAGCACTACACTATTTTTTGGGTTAAATATAAGTACTTTACATATACTTGAATTTTGAAATATATTTTTTGGTCATTTAGAAGAAATTCTATTTCTATTAAAAGCCAAAGATGTTTATACTCATTTCAAACTGCACCTCAGTCTAAATAGGAAACATGAGCACGGATTTTTTTAGGTAACACCAGCCTCGGTTGTTTTGTTTCCAAGTATTCTTATTTTTTAAGTCCATACGAACAATAATAAAGAATAAAGAAAAATTAAAAAGCCAAGGAGAAAATCTCCAAACCTACTTTTTCTTCAGTCTTCTGTCTTTTTCAGCTTGGGTTCCCAGTTTGCCTAACCCGAGGGATTCCTGAGCAGCAGCTTCTGTCTCCATAAAGCCTCCTGTGCAAAAATCAATATTCAGATTCAGTTGCAGACATTGTATCAACACCTGCATCAAATTCTCAAAAGATATCTGAGCCTCTGTTCAGTAACATATTTTTTTTTGGACGGCTGTCCTTGTATTTCCAACCTAGCATGCATAAAATGGCATGAGTACCTTTGCAAACAGGAACTGAGAGAATGAATAGCAACAACAAAATACTTGTTGGTACAGTTGCACAGAGCGGCAACAGAACAAATGTGACCTGCTCCCAAGCCTCAAGGTCAGTTTTTCTACTTTTCTTGTGGAAAATAAGAGTGAATATTTGTCTAATGTGCAATAATTATATTTTCAACAGTTGAAACAGTTGCAATACCTCATACATAATAAGGTAAATGCTAGTCCCATGAGTAGAAACTCAGGTGCATATTCTCAATTCAAAATTGCCTGAATGGAGAGGCATTTGCTAACTTCAAGTTTTAATCTTGCTCTTGGAACTGCATTCTGCCAGCTGACTGTCTTCTATATCTTTCACTGTAAGCCTCACTTCTGGAATGTCATGTCTCTGGACAGATTTTGTTTTGCTTTTTAAACTTCATAATAAAACTTCATAATAAAAACAGACAGCAAAAAAAAAAAAAAAACCTCTCTCTTACTTCAAAAGACTCTGATAAGCACAGATGTCACCCACAGGTCACAGTTTTGTTTGGATTAATGCCAGCATTATTTGTTTTGAACATATATTATGTGTATATAAGTAGACTATTGGAATGAAAGCACAAAGGAGAAAAGTATTATGAACATCAAACACAGAATTATGCTTCTTGCAATGTAATTTGAGGAATTCAGGATTCATAAACATATAATACATTACTGTAATTGAAAAATGAGGGCTTAATGCTGTAATTTTTGTTCTGTTTGTTATTTATTATACGTGATAAGCATGAAATCCAGCCAAGGAAAAATTCAATTGTTTACTATGTTAAGGTATATATATATTTTTTAACAGAAAGACTTTAAACTACAGTTAAGCACAAGATCAGAAAGACCCAAGCTAATACTAGTATTTACAAAGGATACCCACAAACTTCCACCAGCAGAGCAGTAAATAAGAATGACTGAAGCCAACTTTCACACCTCTCCCCTTACAGTAGACATTACCTTACTTAATAATATTTGCAAGAGTTGAAAAAGATACTGTTTCTCTTTACCAAAAATTACCAGAATGAAATATCTTACCAAAACATTGAGGCAAATTTGCTGTAATGACTTTGAAAATGTATCTTAGCAAATAATTTACAATACTTGATCCTATTAATTTTGGAGCACTGATATAAATGAGATTATTACATGGCCTGTTAATCTTCTTGCTGAGTTGGATAATTATAAGAAAGTCCCCATTAATTGAGAACCCATTGATAGCTGTCTTCATCCTATTCAGGCACATGGAGTTTGAGGACTAAAATGTATTCTATTCATTGTGCACATGTACAATTAATACTTGGAGAATTTTTTTTATTATGAAAAGTTTTCATTGTTGGTATCATTAGGAAAGCCATCACTAGTTGACTAAAATACTTCTGAGGAACATTTTAAACATGTAATTTTCCATATGCATAATGAGTAAATATTTTTTATTTATCTCATCTATATATTTGCCTTACTGTAAATCCATAAACTACTATTCATACTCTGCAAATAGCAACAAAAATGTTCTCTCGAAATGTAAATGTAAATGAATGATTCACTTAAGTTAGGAAACACTTGATCAGTCCATAAGGAGACAAGGAGATTGATGAAGCAGAACTACTCATAAACGATGAAACATTTTCTACCACCAGGTGGCTGGAACAATCAGGCTTTTTATCATTCTGAGCAATAAAAGACCATTTAAATTATTATTGAAATTTTTTCATGAATCTAACATTTTAATAGCAAAAAGGAACATTCTTAAATGATAAAAGTTATAGAAGAACAGTAAAGCTTGAGGACTATTTTGTGAGTTAAAAATTTTTGAGATAGACAAACTATTTTAGATATTTGAATGGCTGGCATTGTGGTGCAGCAGTTTAAGCTGCCACTTGCAATACCAGTATCCCATACTGGAGCAGTTACTCTTCATTCCACCAGCTTTCTATTAATGCACCTGGGAAGGCAGCCAAAGACGGCCCAAATACTTGGGTCTCTGTCACCCATGTGGGAGACCAGGATGAGTTCCTGGCTTCTGGTTTCACCCTGGCCCAGACCTAGTTGTTGCTGCCATTTGGGGATTGAACTAGCAGATGGAAAATCTCAATTCTCCTTCTTTCTCTCTCTCCTTGTCACTTTGTCTTTCAAATAAATAAATAAATATTAAAACAAATCATCAGGGGTGGCATTTGACTTAGTGCTTGAGATCCTGGGGAAGATGCCCGTGTCCCATTTCAGAGGGCCTACTCTGACCCCTGTCTTTGGTCCTGCCTCCAGCTGCCTGCTGGTGCAGACTCTGGGAGGCATTGTGATGGCTCCATCAGCTGGTTTTCTGCCATCCATGTGGGTGACTTGCACTGAATTCCTAGTCCAACCCTGGCTATTGTGGGCATTTTGGAAGTTAGCCACTAGATGGGGCATCTCAGTCAGTCAGTCAATTTCTCTCTTTCTGATTCTCTGCCTCTAAAGGAAACAAATTCTAATTGTTTCCATCACTGAGGCCATTTTTATAGACATCTTGTCTACCAGGATGTCACGAGTCATGGTTCACCATTGCCTTTCCTGATCTGTTTCTGTCAGAGGAACAAAGGGGCTTAGTCTGACTTGGCTATTTTTAACATAGCTTAATTTTCTTTGTTTTTAAATAGGTTAATGCCTTTAGATAAAATTGTGATACAGTGTGTTAAGCCACCAAATACAACACTGGCATCCCCTATGGGCACCAGTTTGAGTCCTGTCCTGGCTGCTACACTTCCAATCCAGCTTCATTCTAATGGCCTGGGAAAGCAGCAGAAGAGTGTTTGTGCCCCTGCCACCCTTGTGGGCAACTCAGATGGAGTTCTAGGCTCCTGTCTTTAGCCTGGCCCAGCCCCTGCCACTGTGGCCATTTAAGAAGTGAACAAGCAAATGGAAGATCTCTGTCGCTGTCTCTCCTTCTCTGTAACTCTGCCTTATGCTCCATCCTTGTTCTACGAAATATATTGCTCAGTGTTCAGACATAATTATCTCCATAATTATCTCTAGTTTTTGACATTGGTTGAGTTAATGAGGATGTTGTTGTCATTGATTTCATTCTCATCTGTTCTGACATGAAGACATACAGTCATTTTGAAGTAGGCAGGCATACAGATTAAAATCGATTAGGTTTGTGAGCTGGAAGACCACGCCTTTGCCACGCCCCTGTGTGACCTCATTCCCCTACCTGGCCACACCTGGGTGCCCACCAGCCAATCAGGTTAATTAACCACTCCCCTTTGGAAGTGGGTTAAAAGCCTGGGACATGGTGTGGGTGTGTCTGCCCTTCTCTTCTGCCCTGGCCTCTTGCTAGGAAAGGGCTGGCTGTAGCCCTGCGCCTCCAGAGCCTGTGGCCTTCATGCCACCCGCCCCAGGCTTCCTGGCCTAGATGCTCCTCCAGGTGGCTGGTTGCTGGTGCTTGGTATGAACCCAGATTTACCTCTCTCTCTTAATAAAGCTCTCACTCTCCTATGCATCTTTCTCACTAAATAAAGGCTTAAAATGTACCATGCTGCCTTGTTTATCGATTTAGAATTCTTCTCTAAATATTAGGCAAGAACCCTCTCATGCTTATTAATATTGGGGATTTATTAATAAGCATATGGTGATATCATATGGCACCCCAAATTCCAGTAGCATATGTGGCATCCCAGATGGCGCTTCTGGGGAACTTTAAAGGGACACATTTCTGTATAGATTTTAGGGGGTCATCTCTGATATCAATTTGAAATAGCTAATAAAGACTAGATTTCTAGATAATATATATTTTTATAGACTTTATATCTTGGACATTTTGAAAGAATTTAGTTTGTAAAATTCCTAAAGATATAGTAAACTCTGGCCAAAGTTAAATACAAAATAAAAACAGAGAAGTCCTGTGGGGAGCAACTCGGACTAGACTGTTACTGGAATTAAGACTTATTCTATGCATTTGCTCCCCCACAATATGGCGCTGAGAAGGCAGTAACAACTTCTACGCAGCTGCCTCTTGCCAACTTGAGTGATGACCTCCAGGAGCTGATCCTGCTCCTGATTGGAGGAGAGCAGCGTACTTGGCGTGTGGGTAGCAGAGTTGGGATTGGTGGAAGAGGACTATAAAGGAGGAGAGAGACAACATGCACCAGGAACATCTATCTGAAGGAACACCTGAGCAGCCCCCGAGAGAGCCGGCCGGCGGTGTGCCGCTCCCCCGCGGAAGTGGGGAAAGTGGCAGGGGGAACCGCCCTTCCACGGAGGTAGAAGGGTCGGTAGCCAACCCGGGAAGAACCAGCAGCAAACCCGGGAAGGGCCGAGCAGACAAAAGAACAACGCAGGGTCCTGTGTCGTTCCTCCGCGAAGAGGGGGAGCGACATAATGGTGCCGTGACTCGGATATGAAGCCTAGGCAGGGTTTAGTGTCGTTCCTCCACGAAGAGGGGGAGCGACAAAGTCCCAATGAATTGGGCAATTAAATATATTCTTAAAAGGAAAACAAATTATAAAACTTAGATGAAATATATATTGAAATATGAATAAATTAAAAATTACTATGTTAGCAAAATGAATATTTAAAACTAATTAACTAGCCAGATTATTGTGAGTTGCATTTTAATATAATGGAAATGACAATTAATTTGGTAAGACCATAACCAAATTTTAAAATAATATTTGCCATTTTTTATGACAAAGAATCAGCTTCTTTCCTCTTTGCTTTGCAACTTTTTTGTTTGATAGCCTAAGGGATTCTTCTGAAAATGAGAAGTCCAGGGAGGATTTAGTCACCCTAATGAATAGCACTTAATTGCACAGTTGGCTGCACATCAGTTGCCCACAGCACATGGTGCTCTGTATGGGTTCCACACTGTGGGAGTCAGGAAAGACATGTCTGAATAATGCCGCAGTGTCAGTCTGCAGGCTTGAGGACCATACTCAGAAATTGTTTTGGTGGCAGGGCAGGAAATTAAGGCTCGGTGTTGGGGTATTATTTGTAAACAACCAGTCCTTTATTTGGGAAACCAAAGGAAGCACTAAGAAATTTGTATCAGTCTGTGTAGTCCTTGTCATTGGAGATAGGAGGTTAGTCTTTTCTAATAATTTAACTCTATAAATAAACACATAGGAGGACACCAAAAAAGCCAAATGTATATATCATTTCAAAAAATCATATACTTTTCTGTTCCAGACAATTATATACATATGTGTATTTTTAGGTATCTATTTATAAACCCATGAGGATATTTCAAGAGGTTCATGGAAAATGTACGTGATCTTTGCATTTTATTTTACTGTAAACTTTTTGAAATACCCTTGTATACCTCTGGTCATTCCAAATGTACTGATCTATGGCCAACTAGTTCCTGACAATAACCAATTCTAGCACAATCTCTATTAACCTATTTATCCTCTCTTACCTTCATTTACATGCCTTAGAATTTGTTAAGAGAAAGTTGTGGTAACTTTAAACGACAACAAAAATCTTATCCTTCACATTTTACATTCTATAATCACTTCTTTAGGATTTTTTATGGGCTTTTCAGTTTTCAGCAGAAAAGCATTAAATTCACATAGCTAAGCTTTTATAAACATTTATCATCTAAGCGGCAATATATTCAATGGTTTGTATCTGATTTTGAAACATTGGCATCAAAATAAATATCTCAGTTTTGAAAACTACTAAGACGTTGTTTGCTTATTGACAAAATAATATGCTTTAATTCTGCCTTTGACAGAATTATCATTAATAAATTCTAGCTATTATTGTTAACATGGAAGTGAAGGAACTGCAAAATTTATAGGATTCTTTCACTATCTCTTTTATTAGGCATTATGCAACTAAACTGGGTCCTCAAAATTGATTAAACTGAACAATTTTCAGGAAGACGGAAGAAGGAATGAAATGGGATGGAATAAAAGATCGATGGACATGTAGAACTGAGTGAAATGAGTGGAAAGTCAAACACATGCAAACTTACGGAGCTGCCCAAGTCGAGCTTTTTCTTTTTTACCAAACAAACGTCCTATTGAAGACTTGATTCCTTTTTTCTTGGGGGCTTTGTGAAGAGAGTCTTGGCTGCTGTTGGCACTTCCAAGCCCAAGGCTTTCTGGCTCAAGAGAGGCAGATAAACTACTGCAAAACACAACAACAGGGCAACACGCTCATTTTCGTTGCAACATCCACAAGGTAGAGAAGAGTTTCCTTTGCAAACATACAAAAGGAGGAACAAGTGGATGTTGAATGTTATTTATTTCTTTTCTTCACAAATGTTTTCTGAAGATATTGAAGCAGAGTTTCCACAGCCTTGGAGTCATCAATCTTCAAATTTTCAATAGAAAAATTTCTTTTTCCCTTATACTTTGCTTAATATGAAAATGATCTATGAACATACGGTGACTTAACTACTGCATGTCAAGTGATCTATTATTTGCACCTGACCCATTATCTATTGTAAGGTTTAATAATTTTTGAGGTTCTAAGAAAGCAAAGAGGTGGCCAGTAAAATGCAGAAGGGACACTTATTGAAGACAGGAGAGCACAGTAGGGGGAAAGAAAGGCTGAGGCTCATGCCCCCCTTTTAAGAAGTAAATGGTAGGGGCCGGCACTTTGGTGCACTAGGTTAATCCTCTGCCTGCGGTGCTGGCATCCCATATGGGCACGGTTCTAGTCCCGGCTGCTCCTCTTCCAGCCCAGCTCTCTGCTGTGGGCCGGGAAGGCAGTGGAGGATGGCCCAGGTGCTTGGGCCCTGCACCCCATGGGAGACTAGAAGGAAGTTCCTGGCTCCTGGCTCCTGGCTCCTGGCTCCTGGCTTCGGATTGGCGCAGTGCTGGCCATTGTGGCCATTTGGGGAATGAACCAGCGGAGGGAAGACCTTTCTCTCTGCCTCTGTCTGTCTGTCTGTCTCTCTCTGTAACTCTGCCTGTCAAAAAAATAAATAAAATCTTAAAAAAAAGAAGTAAATGGTAAACTTAGATATATTTATATCATTATTATAGAGATCTGTTTGTAATTTTTCAACCATGAAAGTAAGAGTCTATGAAGATTCATGGTAACAAATGAGATATTTCCCCAGCCAGACTTCTCTTTATATTTGGTCAATGTAGCATTTTTTTTTCCCTTCCAGGTGTGTTTTTGTTTGAGGAGTTATTAATGCTGGTAGAAGTAGCACCCACAGGGTATGCACACCTGTCTGCTGAACATAAATGAGGTACAATGATAGACCTTTCGGCCCTAAATTATGATTACACTGCAATCCAAATGTATAGTCTTGTACTAGAGTTCATTTAGATATTTGGAATTATTCCTGGTAAGGCCTCCTTCTCATTTAACTGATTTTAATAGGAAATATCTGCTAAAAATAGAAGATCCTTGCTTACCCTTACATTGACCAGTAACAAGACCACACAGGTAACAGGTAATTTTAAAAGCCAAATTTTGATCTTGGATGGGAATTTGGTTATTTCAAAAGTGATAATGAATAGAGGGAATGTGACAAAACCTGATGGAGAATTTTGGATCTAATCAAATACTTTATGTAACACTTTAGGTTATCTATTTGACAACACTGAAAAAGGGGAGATTACTTTTGGAAAGACAGTTTTCAGTAATGTGCCTGGAGAAACCTACCTTCGGGCATCGTTGTGGTAGGAAGAAGGGAGGGTGTGCGTCATCCTGATGGCTCGAGGTGTGGGAGGAGGAGAAGTTTCACATTTGATCGTTGCTTTGTCCTCCCGACCATCCTCTTCCACCACTGCAATCTGGAAGCAAAAAACAATAAATTCAAATCAACTGTTTTAAATTTGAAGTGAAGTTGATACACATCATTGAATAAAGTCTATTTGAATAATTCAAATACAAAGAATCAGATAAATAAAAACTCAGGGCATACAAATATAAAATCACATTTTTAAAGGGGGTGATTTTCAGTTCTTCTAAAGAGAAGAGATGCGGCCAGTGCTGTGGTGTAGCGGGCTAAGCCTCTGCCTGTGGCACTGGCACCCCATATGGGCACATGTTCTGGCTGCTCCACTCCTGATCCAGCTCTCTGCTTATGGCCTGGTGAAGGCAATGGAGGATGGACCAAGTCTTTGGGCCCCTGCACCCACACTGGAGACCTGTAAAAAGCTTCTGGCTCCTGGCTTCGAATCAGCCTAGCTCTGGCTGCTGCGGAGGAGTGAACCAACAGATGAAAGAGCTCTCTCTGTCTCTCTCTATCTATAACTTTACCTCTAAAACAAATAAATAAACTATTTTTTTAAAAAAAGGGAAGATATTTGCTGGAGTTGTGGTGGATTGGGTAAAGCTGCTGCCTGCAATGCTGGCAAACTATATGGGTGCCAGTTTGTGTCCTGGCTGCTCTGCTTCTGATCCAGCTGCCAGCTCATGGCCCGAGAAAAGCAGTGGAAGGTCCCAGTAGTAGGGCCCCTGCCACACATGTGAAATATCTGGATGAGGTTCTTGGCTACTGGCTTGGCCTGGCCCAGCTCCAGCTTTTGCAACCTTCAGAGGAATGAACCAGTGGATGGAAGATTCTCTCTCTCTCTCTCTCTAACTCTTTCAAATCAATCAACAAATCGATGTTTTTTAAAAAAATTAAGCAGCCCTTAAAACATACATAGATGGTTTCTCTGAATAACAGGAGAAAGGCTTTGGAATTGGAAATGGACTTGAACTCTAGTTTTTCTTGAAAGTTCAGTGAATGAGCTGGTTACTTACATGCTTTAATATTAAATTAAATATCCTATTCAATAAAATGGAAAATGTAATATTGAGTGTGTTCTTTTGAAGTGTAAATGAATCCTGTAGGTATCTTCTTACCCCAGTTCCTTCTTTATTTGACCTTACTTGCCAGTCACCAGTTTCCAGAGGGCTGAATTTCTGTAATGGAACCTTATTGTTTCTTAACCCACTAAAATTCTTTCACACAATCTGTCAGTTTCTTTTTAGGTTCCAAAATTTCTTTCTAATTCTTTTAAATCAGTAGAAATCAAAGACAAATAATAACATTGCACATGGTACATTCGATAGTTGAGAACCAACTGACAGTGTCAAGGAGAACACACAATAAGAGTAAGACAGATAAACAGTTCAGAAAGAGAAAATTCCAGCAGTTTAAGCCACGTGAGCGTAAGAGAGATTCACTTCATCAAATAAAAATAAACAAGCTCTGTGCATGATGTGCTTGGAACCATAGTCTGACTCTCACGTCCTGCAGAAGCTGCAGAACGCGTTTGTGCGTGGAGAGGACCTTCAGTCTGATCTCTTTCCCGTCTGATCTCTCCGGAGTGCTCTGTAGTCCTCAATTATCTAACAAGATGTCATTTGGGAATCAGATCTGGTGTCCGCTGCGTTTGCCACATTCCATGTTTATTCTCTTGGTTTCATTCAGAACAGAAAGCAGTGTTTGAACTCCGCAAGCTTATTATTTCCCATGTTCTTCACGTTCCTGGCATCTAGAGAAACTGCTCTTTCCAAGGCGTTTTGACTCCTCTAACGCAAACTACTCGCCTTTATGAGCCTTTCCTATGAAAAGCAACCAGTGCAGACTCTTGCTTGGAACCCATGTCTCTAGGCTGCTCTTAGAGCCCAGGAGGCAATAATCCCCTGTCCTAAACACCCCAGGGCCAAGCCAGAGACAACTGGAGACATTCCTATGCCCCAGAGCCAAAGAAAGCGGTGTGGCTGTCAGTCCTAACTCAGCTTACCCTGCCCTGTTTGCTTTTCCTCCAGCGACCTTAAATAGTCCCCTGCTTCTGCTTCCCCTTTGCTTCTTCCTCCTCACTGAGCCTGGTGCTTCCCTGGGGCATCACATCCTTTCCCTTTGGGATCTTTCCTTTGGCAGTTCTCTACTGATCTGTTGGCCTCATCACACTTAATTAGCAAAAAAACAAAACAACAACAACAAAAAAAAAACAAAAACACACACACACACACACACAAAAAACAAAACAAAAAAACAAACAAACAAAAAACTAGCTTCCTCCCATGTTTTAAAATTTTTATTAAGAAACATTATACATACTTATGGGTTAGAGTTGGATATGGAGGAAAGGGAGCACACTACTGGAGGAAATGTGAATTAGTACTATCTCTATGGAAAGAGTAAGGAAATACCTTAAAATAGAAATAGAACTACTATATGATCTAGCGATGCCAGTAACAAGTATATATAACCAAAAGATATGAAAACCAGCTTGTGAAACCAACCAGCATTGTTCTAGTACTGACATTAAAATATTAATAAATCTACCATTTATGGTTCAAATATTCAGTGGAAAAATCAGAATATTTAGCTTACTTAATCTAGCAATTACCCTAGGAAGAATTAAAATTATATTTGAGTCATTTGCTCTTATATTTAAACATTCAGTAACATTGAATATTTTAAATTTTATGTTAAGATATTAAAACTAGAGAAATATCATCTTAAAGCTTTCATGAAAAATAAACAACATTCAACTAGTATTCATTATAAAAGTTATTTACAATACCTTTCTCCGATGTTTCCTTAGATCACTTGGCTGTGATTGGCAGTAATAAAAGCAACATAAAACAACTAATTAATGATCATCCTTTGACCACGTTACAAGTTTAATTAGTTTCTACAACATGACTATCATTCTTCTGCTTCATTCCACCTTTCCTAAATAAATGTCCGCCAGTATCTTAAGAGCACCTCTTCCGAGAGCGACTTCAAAGAACCTCTCAGAGGACACAGATGGGAGGCACGTCCACCCGCACATGCATTATATTGGAGATAGGGGCCCTGGACATATATAAGACAGAGTTAGTCGGAGTGAGCTCAGACAGGGAGCAAGGTTGCCAGACTAGGCATGGGACTGCATGCAAAGAAAATACAGGTGGGGATGAAGATCCAATCAATACACAGAGATGGAGTTTATAAACTCCGCCTTTTGCCCCATCCGAACAGAGCCTTGGGCTTCCTTTGTTAGCTGAACTGTTCTGAGGATCTCAGACTTTCTGGCATCCTCACTCCGATAAATGCTAAAAGATAAGGCCTCAGTCCTGAGAGTTTTTGTGGTGCTGCTTTTTTGTCAATGCTCGTTAAGAGAATTTTTAAAATAGTCTATTTTAGTGGGAAATATGTTGCTTTTATCCCATTCATTACTCTACCTAGATATTGCTGGTATGCTATTTATACTTATGGATTTCTTGCCAAGTAAAAGTAAATACAATATAAACAATTATCATTAGATCAGTAAAAAGACCCCAATATTTCAAATGCACAATATAAATAATACAATGTTTTAAATTATTAATTTTCTGTCCCTAAAATTTCTATTCGTCTTCTGAATACTTAAATACAAATTATAGTCAATAAAATTATTTTTCTTCAAATATTTTTTATAGATAGAAGAAAATCTACTTATTTTTCTCTACAAAAGTGAGTTGAGTGACAGCTTTACTAGGTGGTAAGGAGTTCCTCCTGCATTTCATTTCTTGTTTTCCTGAATTAGATACTGAACACTGTAAATATTCCTTTACTCTTTAGGAAAATCCCAAAATGTTTTTTAAGTATTGTAATTATAGGGTAATAATGTTAATTTACCACTTATTTATTGATGACTGACTGCTAAAGAAAATGAATGTTTTTACTGTCATCTTTCTCATATATGTCTAAATGATTTTTTTATATTTTATTAGTAGGAAAATAATAGCATTATCAAGGGTTATGATACTAATATTTATAAAAATACTTAAAAGGATAAGATGCAATGTTGTAAAAATATAAAGAAATATTAGTATTAGAGAAATAACTAGTCTCCCCATGTTGATTGCTGACTAAATTATGTTCCATGATTCCAAGATTCCTCAGTAGTTTTGGTAACAAGTTGGTAAATAAATAAATAAATAAAAGAACTAAACATCACAGCCATTATTCAGCAGTCACCCTGACTGTATTTCTCAGAGGTTCTCATATTACTTTTAACATGAAGCACTTTTATTTTCTTTCAGTTATGGTTAGGGGTACTTTCTTTAGGCTTACAACTTTTCAAAACCCCAAATATAAAGATAAGCAAAATAAAGAAATAAAAGAGTAAATGTTAAAAAGCTTGCAAGAATCCTAAAATCAAGTTAGAAAATTGCTGCTGTTGCTTTTTATGGCTCTTATGAAATTTATCTATGGTAAAATCATAAAGTTCAGTCTTGTTCTATTAACACAATTACAATAGACAATCTTTTTATTTGTTATGACAAATGTATTTCATCAGTGTGCATTGTATTTAATGGCTTAAGTCATTCAAATTTCTAATGTGATATTATGATCCCTGCTATTCACTTACCATGGGACCTGGAGAAAGTGGTAACACTCATCTGGGTTCCATCTCATGATGGAACTGATGATTGTACTCACCACATAGCGTTGTGGAAGGAAGGAAGGAAGGAAGGTAGGGAGGAAGGAAGGAAGGAAGGGAGGGAGGACAGCCACAGACAGTCCTGAGGCTAGAACAAACACCCAGTGCATTTGTTAATGCAACATTAATTTTAATAGGAGCAAAGATGCTCTGGTTTCATCATCATACCAGTGTCATGACGCCCATCCGATCCATTTCCCTGGCAGGACTTCTCGGGGTGAGCTTTGGCGTTGAGTGTCCACTGGGGGGAGACGAACTGGCCAGTGAGGAAGCTGTAACAGAGGCAGTGATGGAGGTACCTTGGTGGACTCTTGCCAAATTCAAGCCTTCCAGGCTCACACTAGCCACTCTGTTCTCAATTTCTTCAGCACGCAGTTCTGTAGATTCTTTTTCTTCTTGAATTAGCCTGAGAGACACGGTTTGATTTTGATGCATTATATGCTGCTATAATGCTAACTGGAATTCACAAAATCAGTAAATTCTACTCTGACCATTTTACATCAAATGTACATCTATAACTTGCAATAAATTTCAGAAACTTTCTGGCTGTAATTTAGAAAATCCCTTTTTTCCCCAAACAATAATTCTTTAGAACTTTCAGTTTGACTTTCTTTCTATATTATCATCTGCTAAAACCATTGTAAAACTAGACAGCCTCGTTGGCTTCTACTGCTAATCCTAATCTTGCATTTAGCTCACAAACCAATGTAAAAAGGCTTTTTGAAACCCAGATCTCAATGAGATAACTGAATCTCACCTCATACTCAATGAAAAATTTTAATCGATAAGTTCCACAATGAGTGGTCATTCATAATTGTTGTGTAGTCAAATAAAACATAATGATTTATAATGTTAACATCTACTTAGCCAGACCTATTTTAAATAAGTCCTAGGCATTTTAATGCTATGGAGATATAGTTTGGTACATAAATAGATATATGGATAAAGAAAAATTTAAACACAAATCATAATGTAAATGCTTTGGGGAAAGCAAAGCACTAGCTGTTGCCCTTTTTCCTTAAACAATGAGAAGCTTCAAGAATATCTTAGAGTTAGGTATTACATAGTTGCAAAGAATAAAGTACTTACACACTTGGGATATATAAAGATCCCATCTAATAGAATCTATATACATTTCATGTGTTGCTGTAATGAAACTGTTCTATCAGTATACTGTGTTTGAAAAAAAGATATTGTTAATATTCTGTTATTCACTCTAAATGGTTTACTGTGACCCTCTATGATATGTTAGCCCTGACTTGCAGTTTTCTTTTTACATATTTAATAAGGGGGAAACCACTTGCTACATTTATGCAATAGGAAATAGTTGTTTGGTCTATGGTTGTTGTGAGAATTTGTGCTCCATTTACTCATCTACATTTTTATATGATCACTAGCTATTTTGTTTTAGAAAAGATATTTATTCTGAAATTTCAAATAACATTAGGAGAAATGTGACTTTTATGTTTACTGAATGGTGCAGGGGTTAAAAGGGGGTTCTGAAACACTCAGCTATCATCCAAACTCTACAACAGATACTCATACATCACAATTCTTTTTCTTTTTATTTCTTTTTTTTTTTTTTTGACAGGCAGAGTTAGACAGTGAGAGAGAGAGAGAGAGAGAGAGAGAGACAGAGAGAAAGGTCTTCCTTTCCATTGGTTCGCCCCCTCAAATGACCGCTACGGCCAGCACTGCACCGATCCAAAGCCAGGAGCCAGGTGCTTCCTCCTGGTCTCCCATGCGGGTGGAGGGCCCAAGCACTTGGGCCATTCTCTACTGCCTTCCCAGGCCAGAGCAGAGAGCTGGACTGGAAGAGGAGCAACTAGGACTAGAACCAGCACCCATATGGGATGCCAGCACCATAGGCGGAGGATTAGCCAAGTGAGCCGCAGCACCGGCTGCATCAAAATTCTTTTAACAGGAGCACTGTTTTGTTCCCTCTACTCTCCCCTCAAAATAACTATGTTCATAAAGAACACAGCCTTACAGCTTTAGCGGCAATGATATTCTTACTGTGTCTTCACTAACTTTATTTTGCAATTCTCCCAGTTTTTAAGTAGCATATGTTCACTGATTAAACAGAAAGCTTTGCATTGTCTTCTTACAAGTCACTGAAATAAGTGATCTTTGTGATTTTAACATATTTTTAAAAATGCAAATCACAGAAGTGGGCATTTGAGTGGCACTTAAGATGCCACTTGATATGCCCACATGCCATGTTGTGTTCCACCTGGCTCCACTCCTAATTCCAACTTCTGCTAATGTGCACCCTGGAAGGCAGCCGGTGATGGCTCAGATACTTGGGTCCCTGCCATGCACTGATATATCTGGATCAAGTTCTTGCTCCTCATTTTCGAATGGACCAGCCCTAGCTATTATGGACATTTTGGGAGTGAGCTAGGTGATAGAAGATGTCTCTGGCTCATTTTTTTGTTTTTGTTTTGTTTTTACCTTCCAATAAAAAGCAAACAAATAAATAAGCATTTAAAATCCTACTTGAAATGAAAAGAAAAAAAATGGGACTGGCATTGTGGTGTGTGCATTGACTCTAACACCAACATCCCATATGGATGCCAGTTCATGTCCCAGCTGCTCTATTTCTCATCTAGTTTCCTGCTAATGGCCTGGGAAAAGTAGCTGAAGATGCCACAAGTGCTTGGGCCCCTGCCATCCATGTGGGAGACCTGGATGAAGCTCCTGGCTCCTGGCTTCCTCCTGGCCAAGTCAGGAGTGAACCAGGAGATGGAAGATATCTCTCTGTCTTTCCCTCTCTCTCTGTAACTTTGACTTCCACAAGATAAATAAAGGAATATTTTTTAAAAAATGAAAAGAGAACTTAAAAATCAGGCTTTATACTAAACTGTCCTTCATTATTCAAGATCAAGATTGTTCCTGGGAATCACTACACTAAGGTAACAGAGCTAAGAGTCTTTCAAGAGAAACAGATTGTTACTGAGGGTGTGTGATGACACTGTTGCTGACAACAGATATCAGATACCTTAGCCTTCACCAGATACCAAACTGTGCTAAAATTTTGATCTTGAACTATACAGTCTGCAAAATTATGAGCAAATAATTTTTCCATTTAAGTCCCTGACCTAGGCTGTGGTATTTTGTTATGGCAGCCCAACAGACTGAAAACATAGTTCATGGGTGTTGATGAGAAATAAATGTGTGTGTTTTTTTTTTTTAATGGTATGTAACTAACTCTGATGAACTTCTAAGAACTGCATCATGGCCGGCGCCGTGGCTCACTAGGCTAATCCTCTGCCTAGCGGCACTGGCACACCAGGTTCTAGTCCCGGTCAGGGCGCCGGATTCTGTCCTGGTTGCCCCTCTTCCAGACCAGTTCTCTGCTGTGGCCCGGGAGTGCAGTGGAGGATGGCCCAAGTGCTTGGACCCTACACCCCACGGGAGACCAAGAGAAGCACCTGGCTCCTGGCTTCCGATCAGCGCGGTGCGCCGGCCACAGGGCGCTGGCCGCGGCGGCCATTGGAAGGTGAACCAATGGCAAAGGAAGACCTTTCTCTCTCTCTCTCTCTCTCTCTCTCTCACTGTCCACTCTGCCTGTCAAAAAATAAAAATAAAATAAAATAAAAAAATAAAAAAAGAACTGCATCATCCCTGATATAATGGCCTAGGACTGATAAAAATAACATTAATTTCCCTCCAATATCTAAAATTTTCTAAGGGAGATGAATGCACAATAGTTTTCCTACTATTTAGTACTTTTACAGCCATGTGAAATGAATTTGAAGGATATGCTTACATCCACCACATTTTTTTCTATTTCAACAATAAATTTTAATTTAAAAGTGCTATAAAATTATTGGAGAAAATTTCATTTTTAACATATCATTTCCTATTGTCATTAATGTCATGTATCTGTATTTCATGTATGCACTTTACAAAGGCTGTCCTAATTTTTCACAGGATACAGATATAATGGGAATCTTGTAAAGATATACATTATCACCCAGTGAGTCAGAGATAAAGTCTGAGATTCTGTAGACCTAACAATCTCCTAGAGGGGGCCAGTGTTTTATCTGAAAATCACAGTTTTAATGTCAAAAATTTTTAATCTCTGTATACTACCAGTACTAATTGGACTCACCTGATTTCTTTGTTGATGGCATCCAACTGTTCCTGAAGCATCATGGCTAGAGTCTGGGCATCGGAATGACCACTTGGAGAGAGAAGATCCATTGAGCTAAAAATCGTTTCTCTGTCATCATCATCAATATCAGACATTTCAGTGTCACTTTCAAAAGGGTGGCTGCTGATTACTCCAATTTGTTGAGTCCTATTCCACTCATGATCCCCAAGAGATTTCACCTGGATGGTAAATGGCAATGCTGAATGTTTATCATACTGCACATTTTCAAAGCACTAATCTGAGAAACAACTATAGAAAGCAGACATGATTTTATAGCAAAACAGAATGAATCAATGATGTTTTAATATATTACTTTAGCAAAATGCTTCATTGATACCTTGAGTAATGCCAATATTAATTAGACAAAATTAAGATTTTTAAGAGGAATAAAGATGATTTGTGGTTCAAGTTAACAGTTACTTTAAAGTATCCACACTTGCAAATTTCTCTTTATTTCTTATTATAACAATCTCTATTTACTTGTACTCAACCATTTGAATTTCTGATGCTAATTAGTCTTACCTACATTTTTATCATTAAAAGCTAAGAGCACAGATATTATCACATGACAGGTCATACAAGAATTCTTTCCTCAATCTTGATTTACATAGATTCTACAAAAAATACTCTTAAAGTATTGCAAAGTGATTTAATTTCATCTCTACTACATTGGTCACTGGAACATTCCCTTGATTTTTTAAGCACCAAGCATGCTTATTACATGGCTGCATTTTTAAAAAATAAGTCCTCTAGTTGAATGAGAGTTTTGAGTGACCAGTATGCCAGTATTTTTCAAGCTGTGGGTATAAGATAGAGGTACTAGAATTGTCTGCTTTTTACGAAAAACTGGCCCACATTTTTATTCATGTAAAATGAAGTATATGGAGGAGCACAAGATATTGACTTAAAAATTAAAGCCCTGACTTGACATTTGTGTTACAAATCATTTCAGTATTGAGTAAGGCTAATTTATCTGTCACATCACAATGAGAAAAGATCTATATTGAGCTTAATGCAGTCTTTGTTTTTTATTCATTCAAGAGTTATTGACTCTTTACTGTGATGGATTTATTTACACACAGTGTATTAACACCAGTTAAAACCCAAAGGTATTGAGAGTCTGTGCAAATATGGACAGATGGGTTATATCATAACTTTGATATATAAAAATATTAAAAATCAATCATTAATAGTTCTCTAAAACACTTTGGATAAAATATGTGCATTTTATTCAAAGTGTTTTTAAAGAATTTTAATTAAAATAATTAATTAAATTGAATTAATAATTCATAATTAATATTGCCTAAGTGCCCAAGCAAACCAAAAAATCTATTTGCTAAAAGCTGGTAAAATATAGTATGTGAAAACCACAGAAATATACATTCAAGTTTTGACTCCATCACTTGATTACTTCTGTAATTTTGAACACCTTTGTGTTCAAAATTTGTATTCTTTTTTAAGGTTTTTAAAATTTATTTGAAAGGCAGAGTTAAAGACAGAGGAGGGGAGACAGAGAGAGAGAGAGAGAGAGAGAGAGATTGATCTTCCATACTCTGGTTCACTCCCCAAATGACCACAAATGTCAGGGCTGGGCCAGGCCAAAGCCAGGAGCCCTGAGTTTCTTTAGGGTTTTCAGTGTCAGTGCAGGGGCCCAAGCACTTGGTCCATCTTTTTCCCTGTTTTTTCAGACACATCAGCAGGGAGATGGATCAGAAGTGGAGTAGCTGTGTCTTGAACCAGCACCCATATGGGATGCTGGCTTTGCAGGTAGAGGCTTAACTTGCTATGCCACAAGGCCAGCCCCCTTTGTATTCTTATATTAGCATAAAATTAGTATAAACCTCATAATGTTATATGACTAGATACATGAGAAATGACTAATTGAACTTCTAGCACATAATAGTAGCTTTATGTTAGTTATAGTTTTAAAAATATGTCATACTCCATGAAACCAGTAAAATTTTGAATTCTCTTTGCTAATTCAGTGTTTTAATTAAAACCATCAAAATAAAAAGATTAACCTTTGGCTCATCTCTTCGCACACCCATGCGACCTCTCCTTGGTCTTCTTATTACTTTAGTTGTTCTGTAGTCAGACTGGTTGTCCACTAGGGATCCAACCGAATACCGCAACTCAGCCGAGGTGTCGAGATGAGTTCTGGAAAAAGGAGGAACATATAATATCTCCAGCCTCAAAGATACAAGCAAATTGCTATATGCTGCTTAATTGGAAATAAAGCATAAACTCTCAAGGAAATAAATCTTAAGAAAAAATATGATCAACTGTCATGACTGCTTGAGGCCTGTGCAGAGACTTAGGTCAGAAGTTCCTGTCTCAGGTTCATTCTCCAAAGTCAATCTCCTTTGGAATACACTTATAGCATCTCTGGTCAGTATAATTTTCAAATGTAACGGTACAATGAAACATGTTAGGATTCATAACCAATATCCATTAGATTAAATTCCAAAAATTCTATTTCGTTTGAGCTTTTTAATGGATAGTTCAATATTTGTGATTTATACAATATTTGTTTTAAATGTATTTTAAGAATCTAACTAAAAAGTGTAAATGTTGGGGTACCAGTATTTCAAAATTGTTTGGATAAATTTATTCACATATTCTCTATTTTTCAACATGAGGATCAACAAAATGCTTAAAATCAGATTGACCCAAGGTTAATAATCTTGCCTTTGAAAGGAAAATATATATCATCTGAACTATTTTTTAGCTTTTGATAGGAAATTGTTCCAAAAGGATTACGAAATTTAAAAAAAAACATTTTATTTATTTATTTGACAGAGTTACAGACAGAGAGAGGGAGAGACAGAGAGAAAGGTCTTCCATTCACTGGTTCACTACCCAAATGGCTCCAACAGCAGAGCTGAGCGGACCTAAAGCCAGGAGCCAGGAGCTTCTGCCTGGTCTTCGGCACAGGTGTAGGTGCCCACGCTCTTAGGCCATCTTCCACTGCTTTCCCTGGCCATAAGCAGAGAGCTGGATTGGAAGAGGAGCAGCTACGACTAGCGAGAACCAGAACCTTATATGGGATGTGGGTGCCGCAGGTGGAGACTTGGCCTACTACACCATAGCTCAAGCCCCAAGAAAAAAATTTTTTGCTAAGCATGTTTTATTCTAAAATTTGCAGAGACAAATTGGTAAGAAAATTTCAATTGGCATATATCATCATAATGTTTTTCAATAAACATGATAATAAAGCACATTGTTATCAAAGCAAAGAAAAGGTTTCTCCACACATTATACATTTATAGCAAATTCAGTTTACTGTATTATAATGATTATGATAATAACAGCAACATCATGCTGTCCTTTAAAATCCATCATGAGTCAGAAATGCAAAAAGCTGAGTTTTCTGTTGAAATTGGGCTCTCACTAATCAAACATACTCTCTTTCGTTCTTTGTGGACAAATGCAACTATTTCCAAATGTTTGGCAAGATTAAAAAGCATTAGGAGAGGTTTGGGTTTTTGCCATAGTGGAAGACATTTATCTAATGAAGACCTTGTTTTGCCAAATGACATTAAATGAAAATAATTAAGGAATCAGTGACAAATGAACGTTATTTACTGTTTCATAGCAATGAACTTCAGACATAATCAAGTTAACTGTCTTAATTGTGGATAATTCTTATATATGCATAAATACACAAACTGTATTTATAGAGTCATGTATGTATGAATTAAGCAACCAGGCCAAACTCACAAATTCCATGATTCTCAATCGCTATCTATTGAGCAGATGATCTAAGTTCCAAGAAGACAAAAATCAGTTTAGCTACCATTCTATGTCCAGGGTGGTGTGCTTAGCACATAAGAAGCATTGCATAAATATCCAGTAAGATAATGGATAATACTACGAGTAAAACTGATTATAATACAGTCCCAAACTATCTCTCTCAGAACAGTCTCTGACCTTTTTACCTGTGACTTCTCACATTAATGTTACTTTGGGCATCAGAGTGGAGTTCCTAATTCCTATAAATTATCATTTGAGGAGTACTGTTTTCTGTTTCTCTCTCATCTCCAGTCGTATGCAAGAACATGAAACACAATGCAGCTCTGGCTCACCAGTGACCTGCTTCGAACTCTTCCTGACCTTCCAAAGCCCTCCCCAATCTCAGCCCTTCCTACTGTCCGCCTCACTAGCTACTCTCCACCTTACTTTTCATTCAGTCAATTCCTTCAATAACGCACATTTTCCTTCTCCCCTGAGCCTTTGAACACACTTTTAATTCTGCTGGACACAGTCTTTCACTACATTTATATGGCTAGCATTCTTAAGGCTTCAGATTAAAATTTATGGCCATGTACTATTCTGGCTCCTGTATTCTCTCAATTATAACAATCTTCAAACTAATATTTTTATATTTTCCATCTGGAATGTGTACTCTATCACCACTATATCTCCAATGCAACTATGTCTGTCCTGCACAAAGTGGACAGTAAATCTTGAGAGAACCACTCTTAGAAGAGCCCACTGTTTGCATTTTGTGCAAAGAATTTCCTGCTCATCTGTTTTTCTTTGTTCCCCCCAATTTTTTGAGCTAGTTCTCTAACAAGAGGAATTCTACACAATATTTCCATACTAAATCATTTAGAAAATCATTGTAAGGGTATAATAGTTGAGAGGCTCTTTGAAGGTCTAAGTAAGTTACAAAAAAATTAGTGATTCTTTTAAGCAATGAACCACACATTTTCTCCCTTCTCAAACTCATCAAGAATTTCCATACATAAATCAGGTATAAATTTTCTTAGAGAAAGTATATTTGTGATCCCTCTGCTTTCTGGTACAGTCTCCATTGTCCTTTCCCATTACCCAGATCTCACCATTCCTTTAGGGCTGTGCTTTAGTAGCTATGTCCTCCATGGCTATTCTGGAGCTCATTTTGCTTTGTTTTCAGAGGAGATACTAGTGCAGAGTATGAGTTACTGACATGCAGCTCTTCTCACCTCCCCACCTCTTAGATCAACAACTAATAGACTGAATCCTAACATACCCTTTGTTTTCCTTATTGTTTAAAAAAAGTGCCCCCCAAATCATTGCTGTTCAATATGTATTTGTTGTTTAATAAACATTCAGGTATCTTGTAAGTTATAAATCTCATCAGTTTAGCTATCTTAATTCCTATAATACTTTATGTTTCTGAAATGATTTACTATTTATAAAATTCTCTTTGCTTGCTTGATTTACTTCACCTGGAGAGCTTGTGAGATAATCAGAAAAATACACCATATATAGGTAAAATACCCATACCATGAATTATATATAATTAGAATCAATAAAAATGTGTATTTCTTAAAATCAAACATGCAGCAATTATTGTTCAAAAGCTAAGAATATGGGTTGTCTTATTCTTGGTTTTGTGTGCTTTCCACTATAATATGCTGTAAAAAGGAATAATTGCTTTGTATGTTTGTTTTCATGACTTTATTGTAGATATATGTTGGGCTGTGATGATGACTCATTGCAGTGATGAACTTTTAGATAACTCTCCTATAATGTAACACTGTATTTCTGACATCTAGAGTAAAAAAGACAAGGAAATAGTCATTTGATCCTGCTAGAATATACTTAATGTATTGATTAGACAATATTCTGTGGATTTCCTCCTTAGATATTTTTTTAAAGATTTATTTGTTTATTTGAAAGTCAGAGTTATATGGAAGGAGAAGGAAAGGCAGAGAGAGAGGTCTTCCATCCACTGGTTCACGCCCCAAATGGCCACAACGGCTGGAGCTGCACTGATCTGAAGTCAGGATCCAGGAGCTTCTTCCGGGTCTCCCACACAGGTGCAGGGGCCCAAGGACTTGGACCATCTTCTACTGCTTTCCTAGGCTATAGCAGAGAACTGGATTGGAAGTGGAGTAGCTGGGACTCAAACCAGCGCCCATTTGGGATGCCAGCACTGCAGGCAGTGGCTTTACCTGCTACACCACAGCACCAGCCCCTCCTCCTTAGATATTTTAGCAGTACTTCATGGTCATGATCATCATCATCACATGAACCTATATTGCTGAACTAATAATTTCAGTTCAAATATAACATCAGAATTTTAAAAATTTGAAAAATAAGTGAGATTTTTCAAATTAATTACTAACATATTTAACATTGGAGGTGTTCTTATGTCTACAGAATTGTATTTCTCATACTAAACTAAACTGCGGAAGAAATATTCAAAATATTGAACATTTCTTACTTATACTTACACTGAAAATAGGACATATCCTTTGGGATGTTTTTGCTTTGTATTTTAATATAAGCACCTGAAAAAGGCTTTACGAAATACGCATTTGTTTAACAATATTTATTGAGAACATACTACACGGTTGGCAGTTTTTGAGATGTCAGATTGCAGCAATTATCAAAACACACAAATGTCTGCCCCTGTGCAATTAACACTCCTAAGATGACTAGATCTTGAAAAGACAAATATCATGTTTTCCCTGATTTATGTTAATATACAGAGTACAGAAAAGTAACGTATATGAGTGAAATTTACATTTTGAGATTTGATTATTTTGAGATTTGACTATAGCCCTTATCTATACTCCTGAGGTACAGTGGTTTTTCTATTTTGGGGATTCTTTATGTAATGGAGGGTTAAGTTTGCGATGATAATGAAAATTGAAAGTGTGCTATGGCAAAAATAGAAAAATAAAAGAATGGACGGAAGAGGGAGAGTGGGAGTGGGCAAGGGTGGGAGGGTAGAGTGAGAAGTATCATTATGTTATGAAAGCTGTATATATGACTTCCATGTAGGACCTCTGTCCTTAATGAGGTGTACTATGAGAATTAATGGTAAAATTTGTCTACAAACTGTACTTTCTACTTTGTGTGTCTGTGTGGGTGCAAACTGTTGAAATCTTTACTTAGTATAGAGTTGATCTTCTATATATAAAGTCAATTAAAAATGAAACTTAATAAAGATTGGATGGGAGAGGGCAAAGGAGGTGGGACGGGAGTGGGGGTGGGAATGGGGGGAAGAACCACTATATTCCTAAAAACGGTACATATGAAATTTGTATTCATTAAATAACACCTTCTAAAAAACTGTATATGTGAAATATATGAAATCTGTTCCCTTAATAAAAATTAAAAATGTTTTAAAAAGATATAAAGTGGGCTTCTACTCAAAGCCTGTGGCAGGCAAAAATTTCAAACCGCTGATGTTCTGTGTTGTCTAGTAAGTATATGATTAAATGGGTGAAGTCCTGTAGGGTTTTTTAACAACTTTAAGTAAAAGGGCTTAATCACAAAAGAAAACTAAAATGAATTATTAGCCACTCTCTCATTTTCTGTTTAAAGAATCATTCCATTGTCTATTTCTTTTAAGATAACGTGTTTAGTCAGAATATGTGGGTACAGCTAAATTTATTGGAATCTTTTATTCTTTTTTTTTTTTTTTTTGATGGGCAGAGTGGACAGTGAGAGAGAGAGACAGAGAGAAAGGTCTTCCTTTGCCGTTGGTTCACCCTCCAATGGACGCCGCGGCTGGCACACCGTGCTGATCCGAAGGCAGGAGCCAGGTACTTATCCTGGTCTCCCATGGGGTGCAGGGCCCAAGTACTTGGGCCATCCTCCACTGTATTCCCTGGCCAGAGCAGAGAGCTGGCCTGGAAGAGGGGCAACCGGGACAGAATCCGGTGCCCCGACCGGGACTAGAACCTGGTGTGCCAGCGCTGCAAGGCGGAGGATTAGCCTAGTGAGCCGCGGCGCCGGCCTGGAATGTTTTATTCTTGCAGGTATAGTTTTTCATTCCATCTTTATTTTCAAGTACTTTAATAAAATGGGTAGATACTGGAGCTGGTGCTATGGCGCAGCAGTTTAACACCCTTGCCTGAAGCACCAGCATCCCTTTTGTGCGCCGGTTCGAGACCCGGCAGCTCCACTTCTGTCCAGCTCTCTACTGTGGCCTGGGATGGCAGTAGAAGATGGCCCAAGACCTTGGGCCCCTGCACCCGCATGGGAGACCCAGAGGAAGCTCCTGGCTCCTGGCTTCGGATTGGCGCAGCTCCAGCTATTGCAGCCAACTGGGGAGTGAACCATCATTTGGAAGACCTTTCTCTTTCTGCCTCTCCTCTCTGTGTAATGGACTTTCAAGTAAAATAAATAAATCTTTAAAAAAAAAAAATGGGTAGATACTATGTGACTTGTTCAGTCCCAAGCTTTGGATGCATTTCTGCATGTTTCTGCATGGAATGTGTATACAGAAAAATTCAAGTACAGTTCAATTTGTGTATTGGGTACATAGGAGGAAAGGGCTGTAGCCTCTTAGAATGAGATGAATCTACATACATGAAATTCAATTACTTCATTGAAGAATTTCTTTATATACTTCTATCTATTATAATTAAATGTAGAATATAAAAGACAACTTAAATATTTGCTATTTGCACTAAGGGTTTCTTAATTAGAAAGTGATATTGGAATATAGAAATTATAAGTTTGTAAATATGTTTGTAAATAAGTTTGTAAGTCAAAATATGGTGATGAGGGTGAGCATTTGGCCTAGAGGTTCAGACACCCAGTTCCAGCCATTGTGGACATTTGGGAAGTAAACCCGTGGGTGAGAGTTCTCTCTCTCTCTCACTTTCTGTCTGTGCCTCTTAAAAAAAGACGTACTGGGGCTGGTGCTGTGGTGTAGCTGCTAAAGCTGCCGCCTCCGGTGCAAGCAGCCCATATGGGCATCAGTTTGTGTCCAGGCTGCTCCACTTCAATCCAGCTCTCTGCTATGGCCTGGGAAAGCAGTAGAAGGTGGCCCAATTCCTTGGGCTATTGTACCTGGACGGGAGACCCGGAAGAAGCTCCTAGCTTCAGATAGGCTCAGCTCCGGCCTTTGTGGCCATCTGGGGAGTGAACCAGCGGATGGAAGACTCTCTCTCTCTCTCTCTGTCTCTGTCTCTGCCTCTGCCTCTCTGTAGCTCTGCCTTTAAACAAATAAATAAATCCTTAAAATAAAATAGATGTTAAGGTGCTCACATCTCCTATTGTTGTGCTAGGTTCAGTTCCCAGCTCCAGGTCCTACTCCAGCTTCCTGCTAGTGTGTACCCTAGGAGGCAGAGGTGATGGCTCAGTACTCCGCTTCTTGCCACCCCCAGGAGTCATCTGGATCGAGCTCCTCAATCCAGGCTCCCGGCTCCACCTCTGGTTCAGCCCAGGTCACTGCAGAGATGTGGGAGTCAATCAGTAGATGAGACCTCTTGGTCTGTCTGTCTCTTTGAGCCAATCAATTTAAAAAATCTGGTAGTGACTAATGAGCAATAGGTGGCACTTATTTATTTTGGTCAAGGAGATATGGAACTCTAAGAATAAACTCTTATTGATTCTTAGTGGATATTTAAAATAAGTTATCAATTTACTGTTACCTTGATATTGTGGGTTCAATTAAAGAGCCAGTTCTCATTTTCAACTGGTCAAGTTCAGATCTCAGCTTTTCAATTTCTTCTGCTAGTCTTTCCTGGAAAACAAAAGTGATAAACAGATGATAAGCATATGCCAATAATACTAACACTCCTTTATGATAAACCAAGCTTAATTTGTATTTTAAAAGGGAAAACTGGCAGATATATTTTTATTGGGGGTTATTAGATAGGACAGCAACTGAACTTTTTTTTTTCTGAACTTTTTTTTCCTGAACTTTTCCCTTAGAATAAAAATGCAAACAGCAGAAATCAATAAAAAAATTATCTATATTCCCTGGCATTCAGAAATGATAAATAGTTGAAAATTTATTGAACATTAAAGCCAGGATTAGTTAGGTAGACATCACTTCAAAATGCAGATTAGAAACCATATCCAGCTATAAAAATAAGGAAAAAGTCTTATTAATACAGTATGTTGGGATGAAGGAGAAAAAGGGCTGGAATAAAGTGGTCAGAAAAAAAATCATCAGTTCAAAAGGAAATAGAATGTACTTACTGGATTTATATCGGTACAATTACTTGCACTTTTGATAATTTTGGCAGGTTGGCCAATATCAGTTTCAGTTTGTAAATTCATGAAGATGGAGGTTGTCTCATAGCCCTTAATTAAATGCTCTTTCTGCATTTTTTCTCATTAAACTTTGTTTTAATGAGTCAAAAAATTCTGCGACAGTTTTAGGACAAGTTGTTTCCATTAAAATGTACTGACTGTAAAAACTATTAACTTAAAACTGACATGCACAAACAAATCAAACAAAAATAAATGGTTTGCAAAACAGTTTCCTTTCCTGCTGAAGGTTTTGTGATGTACTGTCTTCATTGACCTTTTTGTTCTAATGGTTACCACTTCTATATTGTTAGAAATGCTTGAATCTGTCCATTCCGATTTTGTTTCCGTTTTCCCCTTCCCAGTGATCAGGGGTGGACATGTTATTCCATTCATACTTCTATTCCCACCACAGTTTTTGTCAATGTGGACTTTGCCATATTTTTCTTATCTGCTGGTTTTATTCTCACAACAACCATTCTACTTTAAACACTTTTTATCCTTGTTTTTAAAAAAGTATTCTACCAGCATCTATTTCTTCCTCACAAAATCCTCTGTAGTCATATTATTTTAACGCACATGTACTATCTAATAAACATCTTGCTTTAAAAAAAGTACAGTAGTTCCTTCTGGGACTTATTAATTCATTTGTTCTTTATTTCCACACACAAAAAAATGCATTGCTTGTGGTCCAGGCACTAAAGGTATGTAGTGAACTGACAAAGTTTCTTCTTTTGTGTGATTTGCAATCTGGTGGGGAAGATGAGCTTCCTAAGAAGTAAATAGGACATATGGGATTACAGGTTGCATGAGGAGGGTAAAATACAGGAGTCATGGAAGGGTGCTCTGATAAAGTGATATTTGAATGCAGAGCTGAAGAAAAGAAAAGAAAAGGAAAAACATGTGAGAATACCTTAAGAAAATGCATGGCAGACAGAAGGCACAGAAGACTAAATGCCTTCTTAGAGGAAGCATATTTAATGAGATGGAGAGCAGCGTCCAAAGAGGCCAAACAGAAAGGGTGAGGAGAAAGGCAGGGAGGGGATGAATTTAGAAAATGGATGATTACAGGACTCAGGGACAGTACTCCTGAAAGGCATCACAAACCATTTTACACCCTTCATCTTTGAGTCTGAGAGAGACAGGAAACACTGAAGATTTTTGAGCTGGGAGTGACGAGATAATTCTGACAGTTGGGAAATCAACTGTAGGATGAGTTGGAGAGATTGGAAAGAGAACTACGAAGCCTATTCCAAAAATTCAGGCAAGAAAATAACATTTTAAAAAGAATCATCTCAGGAAAAAAATGGCTAGATTTTGGCGAATTTTGGTTGTAGAACTAACAAGATTGGCTACCATACTGGACATGGGGTGTGGAATAAACATAGGTGTTAAGAATAATGCCAAGATTTTTAACAAGAGTAACTTGGAGAAAGAAGTTGCAGTTATAATTTTTTTAAAAGATTCATTTATTTATTTTAAAGGCACAGTTAAAGAGACAAAGGGAGGGAGGCAGATAGATATCTTCCATCTCCTGATTCACCCCCCAAAATGGCCACAATGGCCAGGCCTGGGCCAGGCCAAAGCCAAGAGTTAGGAGCTTAATCCAGGCCTTCCATGTGGGTTCAGGGGACCAAGCACTTGGTCCATCTTCTGCTGCTTTCTTAGGCCATTTGTAGGGAGCTGGATTGGAAGTGGAGCAGCTGGGACTCAAACCAGCGCTCATGTGTGATGCCTGCATTGCAGGCAGTGGCTTAGCCCATTGTACTACAATGCAAACCCCACAGTTATGATTTTCTGAGACAAGAAAACTGCAGAAGGTAGTTAGATTAGGTGGTGTTGGTGCTTACTGTGGGGAAATCTGGGGAGGAGAGTAAGATGTCAAATTTGAGCTGAAATTTTAACAATGAGCTTGCATAGAATCTATGCATTCCCTTATGGGAGAGCACCCAGCAGTTGATCTAAAGTTGGAAATGCTCAATTTGAAGATGGTTTTTAAATTCATGAGATCAGAGGAGGCCACCAGGAACTGAACAGGAGAAGAGATCCCAGGCTTACTCTAGGAATCTGAAATTTTAGAGATAAAGATGCTAAGGAGAAACTGAGAGAAGAGGTTGAGCACACTGAGGATTTGGCTGAACTAGACTGAGAATAGATAATTGAGTGAGGATCTGAGGTGTAATAGATATCACCAGGCCAACGTGTGTGTGTCTCTATGAGATGATAGTCCAGAAATGAGGTCTGAACCAGGCTTTGTACTCTCTGAAGATTAGCGAGAACAACTATGTTAAGTGTGAAATGATCAGTAGTGCCGATTGCCCAGGCAGATTGTTCCAGCTACAAGGTTTGGGTCGTAGGTGGGGGAGTGGGTTCTGGGGATCTTGCCAGGAGCACACAGAGCTCTGGATAACATAACATTGCATAACAACATCAAGTCCAAAATTCACAATCTGGCCAATGTAGTTTTTCAAACACATACCAGTGATGGAAAAATTCTAACGATTTAGCAATCTAGCCATTTTTGCTTTTTCCTTGCTGTTGTATAGGCTCCATCTTCTATATAGAATGCCCTTCTCATCTCTAATTGTAAAGATCACATATGGCTTCAAGAGCTGCTAAAGTGATATTTTAAAGTCATCTTTCTGAAATATTTCAGAAAGAATTCTATTTCATCTTCTAAGCACCATTTTCATATTGTTTTAGTAGACCTATCTATCAGGAGTCTGCAGATACCCTGACTGTGGGACTTTTAAAAATTAACCTCAGGGGTGGGTGTTTTGATGCAGCGGTTGGCACTGCTTGGGATGCCTGTATCCAATATTAGAGGGCCTGGGTTCGAGGCCCAGCTCCACCTTTGATTCCACTTTCCTGCTAAGGCACACCCTGTGAGGCAGCAGTGATGGCTCAGTAGCTGGCTCTCTGCCAACCATGTGGGATTCCCAGATTCTGTTTCTTGCTCCTGGCTTTATCCTGGTCCAGGCCCTACTGTGTGGGCATTTTGCAAATTGACCAGCAGGTGGGGGAAATCATGTCTCTTTGTTTTCCAAATAAACTTCAAAACAAGAATAAATAAAATATTAATATCATAATATGTAGGATCTAATAGGTTAAGTGTAGAATTTATCTCCCTCTCCTTTTCTTTCTCATCTTTTATAATGCCTTGCCATACTGATGCCAAATCATTCCTTGATCCTTTTTTTCCCTCCATCCCTTCCTTCCTTCAGTTTCTTCTTCCTGACCTATCTTCCTCTGTCCCTCATTCTCTTCCCTTTTTCTTCCTTTCCTCCCTTCTCTCTCCCTTTCTCTCTATTCCTTGTACCTTTTACTTAACACACATTTATAGATTTCTTTTTAAGGTAGCAATTTCATTTTATTGTATTAAATATGGAAAGAAGGCTAAAGAAGAAGGAAAAGGCATATTAGCAACTACAACTTTAACTATTTCATAATGTAGTTCTTATCTACATATCTTAGAGCAGGGATAGGTGATTCCAGTCTAATATGATTTAAGATATCACCTTCACTATCTACCTCCTCACCTTACCAGGCACCTGCGATCATGCCACATACATTGTGCTTCACACGACTTGTAAGAGAATCCTACCTCCCCTACAATGAAGCCTTCCTCACTGTCGCCTTCCATAGCAATGCATGCTGACCTCTCCTCCCTGTAACTCTGTCTGCTTGATGGTTGGCACTTAGCAGCCGCTGCTGCACTCCATTCTTATTGGTTAATAAATGCATGTTCTCTCTCCTCAGATTTTTCAGTTACTCTTAAACTACTATTATGTTTGAAAATACATAATTCCTCAAAATATTTATATATCACATCTACTTAATGTGTTGGTGCTAAAATAGCATGTCAAACTAGACACATTCTTATCCCACTTACATAAGTCAGAAAGCAAGACAAAACTGTTGCTATTAAATGTTAGAAGCCAAGATAATGATCATCTTTAGAGGAGTGGTGACTGTATGTTAACGTGAGAGGAACTTCCTGAGTAGATAGAGATTTTTTTTCGTATGTTTGCACCTTAAAAATTCATGCAAGAAATTCTACTTATATATCTACTCTTTTGTTAGGTAGAATAGTTAAAAATGCTTCAAAAAGATCACATCCAAAAATTATTCCTTATCAGATATATTTTACAACAAAATATTTATCCAAAATATTTATAGAAGTAGAAAAATGAACAAAAATGTAGGTTTCCATAATACCTTATCATGTAATGATTCTTCAAGATTCTTTCTGAAAGTTTCTGATTCTTGAATTAAAACATTCTACAAAAAGAAAAATATATACATAATTAATACATTAAATATAATATACTGGAGTACGTACATTAATGTTCAATCACTCAAGGATCTTCTTTGATTCCTTTTGAGTTGCAGCCATTTCTTGGTTTCCATAGAAACCAAGTTTCAAAAGGATCATTAAACATGATACCTTAATGTTTTGAGAAATACATAATTTAAATAGGAAATGTTATTTTGTAAGACTTGAGTGTACATATGGAATAAATATTACCTTTCAAGACTTTTCTGTTTGCCTCTTCTCAGACTATGCTTTAAAGTAGAAAATATTAGATTATTCTCCAAATGAGAGAAAGTAACATTCTAAATGTTAGCTGGAGGTGTTATAAAAATATCAGCTAAATTGATTTTTAAGATCTAAAGAAAGAAAAAATTATCAAATCATATTTTAAGATTTCATTCTCTAAACATCTATTTCAAATACAGAATTAATAATTTGTAATAATTTCAAAATTATCAGAGAGAGAAAAAAGAAATTGTAGGTATTCAGAAAACCAAGTTACATGTCATCAAGACAGGCAAAAGTAAGTTGCTTCTTTCAGTTAGCTGCAAGAATCCTCACTATAAAAGTATTTTGCTGTTAAAACTTTGTATTTTTCATATAATCTTGCAAAATATTTTTTAAATAATGCATTGCTTTCAAATTTGTAGGATAAAATTAAATAGTGTAACAACTATATGACAGTCATATATTTGGAGTTACATGAGAAAAAGCATACCTTATGACTTCCTAATGGGTAACAAATTTACACTTTGTTGAAATATTTTCTTTATTCTGGTTTATTTTATGTTTCATGAGAGATTGTCTAGCTAAAGTAGTGATTGACTTTCAAAATAAATTTCCAAAATAATTTGTCCTCTTGGGTTTTAGTTCCTAACCTTGTTTATGCTCTGGAGTTAGCAACTAGTTCATGTACTCTTGCTGGTCTGGTAGCTGCCAACTATCAATAAGACATATATAATCATTTATCAAGAAGTACTTTTTCTGAAACAGTGCAGATGAAAATATTGGGTCCCTAAACCCTTTAGCGGTACTGACACTATTTCTATTGGTGAGATAAACTTACTCAAACTTTGGCTATTAGACGACTGGTAATAGCAGTCAGCCACTTGAGAAATATAAATAATCCAAAGCAAGGCTCCAAATAACCCCCAAATATTTATTTTTGCCTTATAACTTATCTGAATACCAGAATAAAGATAAATATTTTTGTCACCAATCACAATACATTTTAACATATTTACTTCATTTGAGCATAGAAATATGAAAGAACTATATATCACACATGTGTGTTCACTAAAAACTGATTTTATCCATTTTAACAGAAATCATTCATTACTAAGATTCTATCAGATATGTTTTCAAGTGGGGATGATAAAGGATCATCTGATTAAGACAATGGTTGAAGGGGTACAAAATAGCATGGTCACAAGAACAAAGCTAAATATTCATGCAAGTCTGCCCTTCTGTAATTTTACCTTCTCTTCTAGGGCAGCCATTCTTTCCTTTAAGTGCAGCTGTAGGCGTTCATTGGACTCAGTCAGAAGTCTGTCCACGGTATCAGATAATCTTTTGTTATGTTCCTCATTCATTTTCTCTCTTTGCCTAGCCTTACATTGATGAAAAAAAAAATAATTTAGACAGGTAAACCCTTTAAAGATTCTTCAAGGTTAGAGATTTGCTAGTTTTAAAATGGATTCAATTTTGTTTTGATTAAATTGCTAGAAAGTTTTTTTTTTTTAAATGCATAGGGTATATCCACAAGATTTTAAATATAGCCCATCTTTCAAAAGCTTTCTTTTCATATGCACACTACAAAGCCGTAAACTGAGGATTTGGTTGGCAGGAAGATGGGTTCTTAATATACATACTCTTTGAAGTTCCTGATTCTTCTCTTCAAGTTGGCCTTCAAGATGTCTCATTCGTTCCTCAATATTTCCATGTCTCTCTTCAGCCTGTTCAGAAATATGAAGAATGCATCTGGAATATAAGATCTGATTAACTCTTTTCCTCTAAATAAGTTGAAATAAAATGTAAAGCAAGCTACTACCAACTGCAAACATAGTTTTCAAAAAATAAACTTTCTTTAAACAGGCAGCTGAACAGCATTGCTTGAAATGTGTCAGCTACAGAGGCCTGTTACATCCAAGCATCAGCAAAACATTGGAGTTATTTATGAGCAATGAAATCAGCCAAATGTAACATGCAAACTGTGCATGGTTTGAACACAAACCTGCCATTGTCCAATCTTAAGCTCCTGAAGCACTGAACTGCACAGATGGTCGATTATCAATAAATAAAAGTAACATAATTTTTAGAAATGAAAAGAAAAACTTAGATGGATTCTATTTAGCAATAGAAAGTAAAGTCCAGTAGGACTACCTTCCTACGTATGGAGATCATTTCTTGTAGTTTAGCTTCCATAACATATTGATAATCATCAGATGAGGTAGAAGAGGTTGGATCAGACTAACAGATCAAGGAAAAGGAGAGGGACAAAATTGAAAAATCAGAACTAAAGACACACACTGAACAGAATATAGCACAGAATGCTTAAAAGAAAAGTGTGACAGCAAATATAATACTTTAATAGAATTTTATGTGGAAACTACATTGACATCTGGTGAACATGATGCAGTCGATGGTTATAAATGAAAGTCAATGATATGTTAAAATAAAAAGCTGTCAACCTAAGATATGGAAAGTTAGTGATGGCTGGCAATGAATGACTACTACAGAGTGAACTGAAGCAACTCTGAAAGAGTCACAGAATAATTGGATTATGGGAAACCAAACACTAGAATATGTCTCTGAGAGATTGGTAAAAGTTAACATTAAAAGTTTTGCATTTTGGTTGGTTTATTATATAAAAATAATGGAAACTGTATCTCAATGTAAGGAGTATGTTAGGCAATGGCTCAAGTGTAATAAATTTGGTACAAAATTTATCATAAATCTTGCCCTGTAGAAATCAGAGCAAAAGCTAAGCCATAGGGTTAATTATTATGAGTATTCCCCAATTCAAGCAACATTGAGTTTTCTTCCAAAACAGTTGTGAACTTATGAAATGACTTCTGGTCTCTGAATATCTGTGGACATTGGTCTGGAATCCAATTGCTTATTCTCAGATGTAAGCTCATTTACAATTTTAAATGAAAATGATTAAAAGTCCCCCTCAGATTATTAAGACAACAATAATGGGCTGAGGACAAGGAAACTTATTTGTGAACTTTCCTAAATGGTACTAGAGTCCCCTCCAAAGCTGTTTAGACATTAATTTGTTGCTATGGAAACAAAATAGTGCCCCTTTGTGAAGAGGCAGCACAATGAAGAGGCAGCACAGTGCCTTTGTGAGCTAATGTTTGCCCTGTGTCTTGGAGGTGACTATCAGATTATGATAGGTACAGAGTGTTTGACACATGTGACATTGCTGGTAGCTGAATTACATTTGTATGTTATGCACAGATTACATATAAAGCTATTTTAATCAGAATTATAAGTAATTAGAACATCAAAAGAGCCCTATTGCAAGACAGCACATTTTAACTTTAGAGCACATTTTATCACATTTTGTAAGTTCATTCTAAAATAGTGAAACATGCTTATGCCAGTATAGGAATATAAAAACATGTCAAGTAGTCACAGTAAATAATAATATCCTATTCAAGTATTGACTCATATACATGTCTACCATATTTTTTCAACAAATTTTAATTTAATTAATAAACATTTAAAATATCAAATCTTGTATGCTCGTTCAAATTAAAACTAAGATTTAAATTTCATAAGACTGAGTTTTTTTTTTTTTTATTTCACAACTATGGAAGATAATGAAGAAATAAAAATAATTCATTACTTTGCCAGGTCTTCCTCAAATTCTTAATCAGAAGCAACAAAAAATTAGCATGGTCCTTAAATACCATAAAATAGTTTGATAATATCATTTAAAACAGAGTTCTATTACAGATACAGTGAATGAATCAAAATATTATTGAAATATATACTTTAAATTGATAAAGATATCTAATTCTTCAAAAGTACATTTTAACAGGCAGCTAGTGGAATTAAAATTAATGTAGGGACTAATTCAAGATATTCAAGTTATGAATATTTCAAAACCCCGAACTATCTTTTCAACAATACAAATTTGTAATGTCTTTAAGATTTCTACCTGTTTTTGTCTTAAATATTGGAAACATACCAAATAATGTGAAATTCATTCTAGATATAGAACAAGAATTCTTTTGATACTTTTTACTGGTACTAGAAATAAATGAAATACCTCAGGGAATTCAAGATGGATTATGTCCTTGCTGAGGGAACTATACATTTTAATTTAGACCTAAGAAATCATAAGATTTGGAGCCCCAAATAATCTTCACTGGTTAATTGTGTATAAATTTGCTAAAGCCAACATTTAATTTTATCCATAAGCATTAATAAACAATTTTAACTTTCCAAAAACCTTTAAATGAGTTTCTCCTACACACACACACACATACACACACACAATGAAGAAAAAATAGGTCCAATCAATCAAAAGGTAAGTGTGGGGAGCAACTCGGACTAGACTAAGTTACTGGAATTAAGACTTATTCTATGCATCTGCTCTCCCACAATATGGCGCTGGGAGAGAAGAAAACAGCTTCTACACAGCTGCCTCCAGTTCAGCCAATAAACAGCAGGACCTGCTCCTGATTGGAGGAGAGCAGCGTACTCGGCGTGTGGGCAGCCGAGTTGGGATTGGCGGAGGAGGACTATAAAGGAGGAGAGAGACAACATGCACCAGGAACATCTAAGAGGAACATCTAAGGGGAACATCTGTGCAGCCCCCGAGAGAGCCGGCCGGCGGTGTGCCGCTCCCCTGCGGAAGTGGGGAATGTGGCAGGGGGAACCGCCCTTCCACGGAGGTGGAAGGGACAGTAGCCAACCCGGGAAGAACCAGCAGCAAACCCGGGGAGGGCCGAGCAGACGAAAGAACAGCGCAGGGTCCTGTGTCGTTCCTCCATGAAGAGGGGGAGCGACATAATGGTGCCGTGACTCGGATATGAAGCCTAGGCAGGGTTTAGTGTCGTTCCTCCACGAAGAGGGGGAGCGACAGTAAGTCCAGATATAATTTCTAAACAGTAGATAATTTTCAACCAACACTACTAATTTATATTCAACTTAGCTTTGTGAAGACTACAAAGTCAGCAGTTGATGTAACTACAGAGACCATACAGTAATAGTCTACTATTTTTATAGTCCTTGATAGAAAACTGGCTTTATCTTGGTTTCACTCTAAAATGTAGTACAATCAGATTTCGAATGAGCTGAATTTCTAGAGTATACTAGAAGCTAAAATAGTTTTTGAGAAGAGCAGAAATATATTCAGAAATAGAGAAGAAATGAAAGAGAAGAGAGCCAACAAGGAGACAAACAGGTTGCTTATAGTAAGCAAATATATATATTATATTTGTATATACATGTATATATAATGTGTATATATATATACCAAATAAAATATTTGAGAGGTTGTTAAGTATACTTTTCAAATTATGTATTATGGGGGCCTAGTTTTAAGTGAAGAAGAAATCCACTTACTTTAGTGATTAGTTAAAAAGTTTAAAAAGTAGAAAATGACCACTATGATCAATAAGAGTGAGATACTGAAAATGAATGAAAATTGAAAGAAAAAATGAAACAGCCTTATTGAGAACCTCCTTAGGGAGCTTGAGTGAAGAAAACAAGAAAAAGTACAAGATATTGAAGCCATAAATATTAGGTGAACAAATTAAAGAGTGATTTTTTGAGCTGTTGGATAAAAAGAGTTACAAGTGGAAGGAGCATGTTCATGATAAACTCTTAGCACTTAAGGTGTTTATATTTTAAAATAAATATGGTGGCCAAATAAAATTGAATGTCTGAAATACATTGTTGATACAGAACCAGTCAAAAGATAAGATGGGAAAATGAAGGTGAACAAATTAAAGAACATGAAGGTTTTCAAGAAGGATAAAATTTTTCTGAAAAATAGTAAATTTAAAGGGTTCAGATAAAGGGAAATATTGGCAATATCTTAGGTAAGAGAAAGATGAGGAATAATAACTTAAGAAAAAAGAGAAGGGAAAAAAGATGAGGTAATCATTTTTAGTTATTTTTTGAATACTTTAAATCAAGTAATTATAGGAACTTTATCTTAAAGCCCTATAAGTCAAATATTTTTTCTTAATAATGTTTTATTCTGGGTCTACCAAAGATCTGCTGAGTTCTAAAATGTGATTCTTAAGGGAGATTCCATACTTTCTGATATTTTACTCAGGATAATATTGATGATTATTGATAGTGAAATTTTACAAAGTTATTTTTTCTTATTTAGTCACTCACACAATTCCCCTCAAAATCGGGAAACTGAATGAGAGACTGCTTTAAGAAAGTTCTTCACGCTCCTCTGATGACAAGCCTAAGGATGTTTATCATAATCCATGTTATATAAATTAAATTTAGTATTGCTAAGAAAAAATTGAATAATACTAATATGTTTGTATTGCTTTTCATAATTTAGAAAGTATTTTTCCAATTAAGTGATACATTTCCTTTTACTTAGAAACTACACATTTGTGAAATTGCCAGTGAGGTTTACTGATACAGTCTGTGCCTATAGAATGATCCAAATCTCAGACTAATATTCTGTTCAGCTAGCTACTTCAACATTCTATACAAAATCAACTGATCCAATAAAATGCCTCCTGATCCTGCTCTACTTTGTTAACTCTTGGCCTTTTCACTACTGATTATTTTTCCTGTTTTAACCAACAGACAAATCTACATTTTCCTCCAAGTCAGGGTGATGAGCAGAGGCCAGACGTACGATCAGAAAACTGTGCATGTGAACAAAATGAGGCGTGATGGTGGACTCGTTCAGGCAGAGTGGCTCAGGAAAGCTGCTGTCTTATTGTCAGGCATGCTGAGGGACACATTCTTCTTTAACTGTTTACATTTTTAGGAATGCAGTGTGTGTGTGTGTATGTGTGTGTGTGTGTATGCGTATGTGTGCATGTGTGTATGTGTGTATATGTGTATGTATGTATGTGTATGTGTGTGTTTGCTTACTTTTGCACTGCTGTGTCAGTTGTCCTGGACCATCCCTAAAACAGAATTTTTAGTTTTATGTTCCTATACCTATTGTATTTGTTTATTGTAATGGCTTGGAAAATGTAGAAAATTGTGATGATTATGTGATTATCTAAAATGAATGTATATTTTTGAATTGCTATTGAATCAAACATACGATTATTATCATTATATGACAAAAATCACGATTTTTATTCTAGGGATATATATACATATATTTACATTTTGAAGCAATATCATTTCCATTTCACTATAAGAGATCAGAATAACCCTTTTTAACATTGTAATGGTTGTTTAACATTAAAATATATACAGATAGTTATAGAATCTTCTGGTCACATTATAACAGAAAATACTAAATAATCTTCAGAATACTGATTTTAATTTTTTTCAGAAGAAATTATAAAAGCTATTTTCTGACTATCTAGTGGCTTTAGGCTTCTCCAAGATTTTAAACTTCTAGCAAAGTTACCACACTATAACTAGAAAAACACCAATTATCTATACTTCCAATAGTAAATAATGTATATGAAGTCTGATAAACTTTTACATCTCATGTATTTACATATTAAATATTATTATTGTGTATGTATCTTCATGATTATTCTTACATGCAAATATTATGGAAAATTAACCATAACAAAAAGACATAAAAGTTTATTTTGTTTTCTTTAAATAGGCAGCCAGATCATCACCTTGATATCGCCATCACTTGATGTGGTATAAATAAAACATATACAGTAAGAAAAGAACTATAAAATAATGCACAAATACATAAAGATTAAGTACACTTAGCCTAAATAGTATCTAAAGAAACTCTTTTTTAAAATTCCACTTTAATTGTCAGTTACTTCTCCATATAGGTCGGCCATTGTTTTAGTACAGTACCTTTGTTAGGGCTGCAATTCTCTGAGCCAGTTCAGCCTCTACTTCAGGTAGAGTTTCAGCCTTTCTCATAGTTTGCTGCAACTTTTGCTCAGCCAGCTCAAGACGCTCTTGTAACTGTCGATTTTTCTCTTCCATCTGAAATTGCAATAGTAACAGAGAAACTTACAAGGGCAGAGTAAGGAGAGCCAGGGTATTCACACCTCAGTCATCGTTCCAGATCTAAAATCAGCTACCACTGCCTCTAGATGTGCTAAGTGATGATTGTCATCATGTTTTCATATATTATTTATCCATTTTATTTAGTAACATTCAGCATATTAAAAATTAGAAAAGTTCTTAGCAGTGGCCACAAAAATAAATGAAATTCCTAATGAGCATGATTTTGGACCAAGGGAATATAGTTTAGTATTAAGGATTCATATGAACTGTGACAACAAAATATTGAAAGTGCGAGTATTAGAGTGGAGAGGGAGAGGGAGAATAGAATGATGATTAAGAGTTCGGGCTTCAGAAATGGGATTGGAAAACATTTTCTGTGAAGGGTCAGACAGTACACTTTTAGGCTTTCTGTATGATATAGTCTCTGTTACAATTATCAACTCTGCTATGATAGCAGAGAAGCAGTCATAGGCAACGATTAGGTTAAGATGAACAATGGTGTTCATTAAGACTCTGTTACAAAAGCAGCCCATCAGATTCAGCCCGCTGCTCAGAGTTGGCCCATACTTTCTCTAGAGCCCAACTGACTTAGGCTTACATTATTGGTCCTGACATTTATCAGATGTGCACCCTTGGGAAAGTGTTCATGTCTCGGAACCTCTGTGTCCTCAGTATAATAACTGTATCTATTTATCAGTGGTAGTTAGAGTTAAGTGAACCAATGCATACAAACTCTTTAATGCAGTTTCTGGTTATTATCTATATACAAAGAGATAATACTCAATATCTTATTATTAAGACAAATAATTTCCTTAGTTTTCTGGAAAATGAATTGCACAATGAACGTTACATTTGTTAATTGCTTCCACTCTAAATTTTAGAGGATAATTAGCCAATATCTGCCAAGAAATACCTTATTTTATTCACCGTATGATTTGAGATTGATGAGAATACATATATGGACCAGAATGGAGATACTGAACCTGCCGTAGGATGGCTTCTTTATTTGCCAATTCATTTTCTAGTTTATCATTCATGTCATGTATGGAGGTAGATTCTCTCTGAGCACTGAGGTAACGCTTCTCAAGGGTTGTGATTCTTTCTTCCATATCTTCCTTCTGTGCCATTGCCTACAATTAAAAGAACAAAAACACTCAAATCAGATTCTCTGACAGGTTATCTTATTGCCCTACTATTTAAATAAAAGATATAAATATGATTGCTTTCTTGAAGTATTACTCATTCCTTGTATAGAAGGAATGCAAGAGTTCATTCAACTTATCTGTCAGAATTCTTCTTTCATCTTGAATTAACCAAAAGCTTTAAAAGAAATGACAAATAAGAAAGCTCATTATGCCACAGAATTAAGTACAGTTATGAGTAGATTTGCAAAGCATCAGAGTGTTGTTGGGTTCAATTGCAAATTGTGAAACCATCTTCAAATAAGGAATGATAAACACTATTAGTACTTTTACATTTAGACATAATGAAGAGTAACTCAATGCTTAAAAGAGGAGGCAAGAGAATCATATATTTAAATCATACTTACAGTAGATCAGAAACTTGGAGACTTATGATAATATTATATACATTCCAATTAAATAACAATTTAGGGAACTCAATGAACAACTACCAACTCAATCAACTATCAATCAAGTTCAAATGAAGTTCAAATGAAAAAATCCATAATTTTTTTAATTATTCATTTTTTATTTATTCATTTGAGAGTTAGAGTTACAGACAGAGAGAAGAAAGAGAGAGAGGCCTTCTGTCTGCTGATTCACTCTCAAATGGCTGCAACGACTGGAGTTGAGCCAATCCGAAGCTAGGAGCCAGGAGCTTCTTCCAGGTCTTCCATGTGGTGCAGGGGTCAAAGCACTTGGGTCATCTTCCACTGCTTTCCCAGGCCATAGCAGAGAGCTGGATCAGCTGGATTAGCCTACTATGTTACAGTGTCAGCCTAGAAAGTCATAATATTTTAACCAGCCATTTTCTTTTGCATTTTTTTTTAACTTTTATTTAATGAATATAAATTTCCAAAGTACAGCTTATGGATTACAGTGGCTTCCCCCCCATAACATCCCTCCCACCCGCAACCCTCCCCTTTCCCGCTCCCTCTCCCCTTCCATTCATATCAAGATTCATTTTCAATTCTCTTTATATATAGAAGATCAGTTTAGTATACCTTAAGAAAAGATTTCAACAGTTTGCACCCACATAGAAACACAAAGTGAAAAGTACTGTTTGAGTACTCGTTATAGCATTAAATCACAATGTACCATACATTAAGGACAGAGATCCTACATGAGGAGTAAGTGCACAGTGACTCCTGTTGTTGACTTTACAAATTGGCGCTCCTGTTTATGGCATCAGTAATCTCCCTATGCTCCAGTCATGAGTTTCCAAGGCTATGAAAGCCTTTTGAGTTCACCGACTCTTATCTTATTTAGACAAGGTCATAGTCAAAGTGGAAGTTGTCTTCTCCCTTCAGAGAAAGGTACCTCCTTCTTTGATGACCTGTTCTTTCCACTGGGGTCTCACTCATGGAGATCTTTCATTTAGGTCATTTTTTTTTTTTTCACAGAGTGTCTTGGCTTTCCATGCCTGAAATACTCTCATGGGCTTTTCAGCCTAACCAGCCATTTTTAAACAAGCTAATCTAGAGATGATAATATGGAAATAGTTTACCTTTCCAATGGCTTTTATGTAAATTTGTTGATAAATAAAATACTTCATTGAGAAGAATTAGGGAAAAAATCAGCAGCAGAAGTGAGTAATTTCTGAAAATGCAAGATGGTCTTTTGTATAGGAGCCTAGAACTGAGGGGATGGTGGTAGTTTCCAAATATTACTTGTTTTTCCCGTATTTATTCTTTAAAATATTTATTCATTTATCTGAAATGCAGAGTTAGAGAGAAAGAATGACAGAGAAATGTTGGGTGAGAGAGAGATCTCCCATCTGCAGTTCACTTCCCACGTGACTACAATGACGGAGCTGGGCCTAGAATCCATCCTGATCTCCCTACATGCATGTACAGGTCAAAGCACTAGGACCACCCTCTGCTCATTTCCCAGGTGCAGCAGAAGGCGGTTGGAATGAAGGGACCACCTGGATGGGATGCTAGCATCACAAGCATAGGCTTATCCCACTGTACCACAATGCTGACCCCTCCACATTCATTGGATCACTCATACCTTTCAGTCTTTCTGTTATTCTTCTTCAGGGATCAGAAAAATTCCTATTATACCTACAGAGCAGGTCATTTTTTCTTTTTCTAAATAAAAGAAGGTCTTAAATGGACAGTCCTTCCCTCACCAGCACTTAGAAATGTAACCACATCCACACAAATCCTTAACTTCTAGTTTTCAATTAAAAACATACGTTTCACCTTTTTTTCAGAGGTTAACTGGTGTATTTGCTTGTGGATCTATGATTCTTTCTTTTTTAGGGACCTTGATCACTTTTTTTGCTCCTGGATTTTCAAAGTGATGGTGAAAGTAACAGCTGGAAAAGTAAAATAGGCTTACAAAGACATTGGTATGGACCAGCGGAGAAAGGCAGAGGGAAAAAAGAATGATTCCAGGAAAATAAAACTAAGAATCATAAATTACCTTTCTGATTAGCCATAATGAGATTGAAAGGAATTTTGCAAAACCATTGGAAAGTATGAGAAGATTCACCATCATTTAAAAAAATAATGAACAAACTGATACATCAGATTTATTTTTAATCATGAAAAAGTAGAAGTTGCACAACAGAAGGAAATATTATAAGAAACTACTTCTTGGTCATTTGTGGAAATTAGTGACATAATAACTAATGGTAACAGAATATGATTTTAGATGAATATGATGGAAGGATGGGTGGAAGAGAAAGTAAGAAAAGAGATAAAATAGCTAATGTTTTCATCAGTACGAGATATAGATCGTTTATTTTATTTTATTATTTTTAAAAATATTCATTTATTTATTTGAAAGTCAGAGTTAGAGAGAGAGAGAGAGAGAGAGAGAGAGAGATTGGTCATCCACCTGCTGGTTCACTCCCCCAGAGGGCTGCAATGGCCAGGTCTGGTCCATGCTGAAGCTAGGAACCAGAATTTTCTGAATCTTCCTCCTGGGTGGCAGGGGCCCAAACACCTGGGACATCTTCTGCTGCTTTTCCAGGCCTTTAGTAGAGGGCTGGATTGGAAGTGGAGCAGCCAGAACATGAAGCAGCAGCCATATGGAATGCAGGTGGTGGCTTTTATCCACTAAATCACAATGTTGCCCCCCCCCGCAAAAGATTCTGCTTTTGTAGATATAATCAAGTTCAGATAAGGTCACAGAGCATGAATGAGGGCCCTAGATCAAATAACTGATGTTAGTATAAGGAAAAGGAGATTTGAAGACACAGAGACATAGAGGGAAGAAGGAGGGAGGTAGAGACTGGAGTTACGCTGCCACCAGTCAAGAGTACCAATGACTGCCAACCACCATCCAATGACTGCCAACCACCATCTGAAGCAAGGTAGAAAGGGCGAAGAAGACTCTGCACTGTAGATTTAGAGACAATAAGACTCTATTGAAAACTTGATTTTTGACTTAAAGCCTCCAGAACTGTGACAAAATAAATTATGGTTGCTCAGAACTATGTGGTTTGTGGTTTATTTATTATGGCAGCCCTGTAAAATGAATATACTCTGTGACTTCATTTCCACTGGAAATATGTTTTCATTAGCTTCTTTACTCAACCCTACTGTCTGTCAAAATCCTATTAAAACCTAGTTGGCTAATTATGGTAATAGTGAAGTTCAAATACATGAAATGAAATTAATCCATCAATTGGGCAAAAAACAGATTAATTTTTTGGGAAACATTATATACATAACCCTAGATTTGAGACATCACAAATAAACCTACAATTTTTTAAAGATTTCTTTATTTATTTGAAAGAGTTAGAGAGAGAGAGAAGGAGAGGCAGAGAGAGAGAGAGAGGGAGGCAGGCAGGGAGGGAGACAGTGAGGTCTTCCATCCACTGGTTCACTCCCCAATTGGCTACAATGGCCAGAGTTGAGCAGATCTGAAGCCAGAAGCCAGGAGCTTCTTCTGGGTCTCCCACAAGGCTGCAGCGGCCCAAGGACTTGGGCCATCTTCTACTGCCTTCCCAGACCATAGCAGAGAGCTGGATTGGAAGTGGAGCAGCCGGGACTCGAACCGGCACCCATATGGGATGCTCGCACTGCAGGTGGTAGCTTTACCTGGCATGCCATAGTGCCAGCCCCATAAACCTACTATTTATAAAACTTTTTATTTTAAATTTTAACTGTTTTCTAAATTTATTTTTTTAATCCATGACATATAGATTTTTTATTTTAAATGACTCCTTGAGAATGCTTACTTTGTTATTTTGTATCTGTGGGTTTCATTTCCATACAGAATTCTATTGATATTATGCCAGTAATGTAGAAAATGAAGAGAAAATTGTGAATGTAGCTTGAAAAATGCAAATTTCTAAGTATATTTTCATAGCAATTAATTCAGTAAAAGTCATACCTATGTTTCTTAATGAGTACTGAAATAGTACACATTTGTGCGAAAGCTGAGTTTTTGATACTTCTTGACCCTGCTGTCATGAGTAAATGTTGATTATCTTTTCTACACCTCTATTTCACTTCATCTTTTTTTTAAGCTGAACTACTAATGCTCACTACAGAACATTACTCTTAAGAATTAGACAGTGCAATATTTCAAGTGTGTTTAAAATGTCGCACATGGAATACACACTCAAAAATAATCGTTGATATTATTATTATTATTATTAATTTTGACAGGCAGAGTGCACAGTGAGAGAGAGAGAAAGGTCTTCCTTTGCCATTGGTTCACCCCCCATGGCCACTGCAGCCGGCACACCACGCTGATCCGATGGCAGGAGCCAGGTGCTTCTCCTGGTCTCCTATGCGGGTGCAGGGCTCAAGCACTTGGGCCATCCTCCACTGCACTCCCTGGCCACAGCAGAGAGCTGGCCTGGAAGAGGGCCAACGGGGACAGAATCCGGCGCCCCGACCGGGACTAGAACCCGGTGTGCCAGCGCCGCAAGGCGGAGGATTAGCCTCGTGAGCTGCGGCGCCGGCCGCTTTTTATTATTAATTACTATTTGTATTTACTATTTATCAGCAGAACTCATTCTATGATAGATATTACTTGTAGGAATAATATATGTGATTTTAGTACTGCATTTTTGATTCAGCAATTCATTTGGGAGATAGAATACTTAACTGCAGGCTGCATTGCCAATAATAAATTTTGAATTTACAAGTCGGAGAAATCTCTTTTCCTCTGTGTTATTAGGAAATTCTGAAAAAAGGGAGCTTTGTTTACTCCCCATAAACTACCACATAAAAATGCAGGAAAATATAAAGATTCTATTGATTTTTATTTTATCAAATAGATATAGCTCTCTACTAACTTACATCTAATAAAGTAAATTGTAACTGCAAAGTTCAAATAACACTAAAGTTTAAAGTGATATATATTTAGTTATTTAATCACTTAGAAAACTTTTGAAGAGATTTTAATAGCAAATTTTAAAGCAAGTGGTTTATTTAGAAAAACATGATTTAAATACTTTACTGAAAAGTTTAGTTCTTTGAACTGCTATGTATTTAAAGATACTGATGTTCACACAAGATTATTAACCTTCTTGGCTGAGAAGTGTAGAGCTAAGTCACTTTTATAAGATTGTCTATTTTTGCCAAATATGTTTACTGTGTCTATCTTTAATCAGTTCACATTACTTCTAAAAGGTCAAAATCTATTTAAGGAGCAACAAAAACAAAATATCATACAAAATCAGTTTTGGATGATTCTCAACAAAAAAAATCACACAAGTATACTCTGAATCATTAATGGTATAAAACTTTATAAATCATTATAGATATATTAGATTGTCCTTACATGCAAAGCAAAGTACATTTTATCTTTTAATTACATGATTGGTTTTTTCTATTTATAATTTTTCCTTAATTAACAAATATTTCTTAATTGTCCAATATATAAATCATACTGTGTTGACAATTCTATAAGAGTATCAATAAATTAACTTTTTAAATGATTCTATTAAGAAACTTGCAATCCAGTAGACTTCGTAGTGAACACAGCTTAGGAACTTATTCAGGAAAGTAAGTGCAGAGCTGGGGCTTTGAATATGATACCTTCTTTAAGTACATGATTTTCACATCTTATTACTTATTGGAAAGAATTATCAAAAGATTGATTATTTGGGTGCCATATTACAACTGCATTTTAATCTTAGTTGTTAATACTGAATCAATTACTGTATTGTATAGATTTGGAAGCAGCTCACGGAGGAAGAAACATAGGTTTTTAAGTCTGAATGATCCTATTTCTTTCTGGTGCTACAGGGAAATGCAAAGGCCTTGTACAAGTCTCTTCACCTCTCTAAGACCAGAGCTTGGCCTCTCTTGAGAAAAATGGGGATAATAATAAGCACCTCCACTAAGAAGCAGTTATGAAGAATTAGAGAAATTAAATAACAATGCTCCTGTAATAGCTTTCACATATGGTTGGTCCTTAGTAAGTCTTTAGTAAACTAGAGCCTGTGGCTTGAAATCTGAATCTGATAAATTTTTAATTAGCTTTCACAGTGCGCAGTGTGTGCGCATGAGTACAGAAAAAAAAAATTGTCATGCATTGAGAAAGGCAGGCTGAGTGCAAGCTCTGTTCACAGGTCTCATCAGTTTTAGCACTTCCTACTGTCTTGCACCTGGCACTTCACACATTTCTACTGCCTGCCTGGCATGGAAAACATTTGTGTTTGCAACCTCCCTTCACAGGTGGATGAGGACAGATATTTCTTTCTCATGACACCCTTCAAAGACATAGCTGCATACAAACAGTTATATTTTAAAGTGGTTCCATATGGAAGTGTCACATCTTGAATTTCTAACAAGAGAATGAGCACCTGGCATCACAGGACTGACGTGTTCCATTCGACTGGGCTTCTGGCACCTGCATCCAGATACCATTAGTTTTAAGGAGCTATTTTTTTTTTTTAATTGGACAATCAGGGCTAGAAGTGATATATGCCTTTCCTGTAAGTGGCACTGTGTTAAATAAATGTGAACAGAGGAGGTGAATGCTAAAATGAAAGGAAACAGCTAAAACCCCTGAACCAAGAGATAACAGGAATTACTGCTGAACTGAATGTAGCAGGTGAGAGTACAAAACACATGTAATGTAAATGAGTGAAATTGACATTTTAAGATTTGACTATTGTTTACAGCCCTTGTATATACTCTTAAGGAACAGTGGTTTTTCTACTTAATGTTTGTTGAATTCTTTATTTAGTGGAGGCTTAATTTTGTGATTATAAAATAAACTTAAGTATGTTATTATAAAAAATAAAAGGACAAATAAGAAAAGAAGGAGATGGGAGAGAAGGAGCATGGGTGGGGAGGTGGGGTAGTAACTATCATTATGTTGTCTGTGTATATGAAATACTTGAGATCTGTGCATGTTACATTGACAAAACAATTTTTAAATGTAGTACTTGAGTGAAGGGTACCAAGAAAAGCCCCAAGGCTGGCAAATGAGTTAATGAGAAAATGAGAAGAAAAATCAGACACATAGAAAAGAGTCAACTCCATTAACTACCAGCTAATTATGTACAGAAGATATAAAAAAGACACAAATACATGACCTAAAAGAATATATAAGCCTGGAAAAGGAAAAGTCACAAAATGAAATTACCATATATATACATAATTTTATTTTTAATTGTGAGAATATGAAAAGAGATTAAACTATCACCTCAGTGGATAAGATCTGTCAAAGTTAACAATAAATCACATTCTTCTATCTTTTTTGGTAATTTAAAGTACTCTCCCTTTTAAGTAGATAAAAGCAATGGTAATTCTAGCAAGAACTGAATATGTAGAAAAAGAGATTGCTATACATATGTATGCATACGCATATGCACACATAAGCATTCACATTCATAGACCCAAATACAAAATAAGAGACAATTTAAAATAACATCTTGGAATATTCCTGTATGTGCAGAGCATAACAATTCATGATTCATACATCCAGGGTTGTTTTAAACTAAAAGCTTCCAAAAAAATTAAAAACTTCAGAAAGTATCCAAGATCTGATATTAAAAGTTTCTTTTCATATGTAAGAAGGAATTGACAGAGTAAACTTTCTACCTTAAAAAACAAGTTTCATAACTAATATAATGTACCCTAAATTATGGCCTTCTGAGAAGAAGTGAAGAGTAAATGCCATTAGGGGGAATTATGGAAAAAGCATCTCTGAGCAGCATTCAGGTAGCAAAGAGTGAAAGCGTATGGCTCACTCACCTCCCTAATGTCCCTTTGATATTTAGTGTTCATTTCTTCGGTTTTAATGAGATCCTTTCTTGCTGTCTCTGCTTCCTGTTCCACCTCGCCCACTCGGGAAGAAAGAGCTGCTAAACGTTCTTTCATTTGGGCCATTTCATAGTTTTGCTTTTCAAGCAGTTCCTGTAGTTCCACTATTTGACTTGTTTCATCAGTCGAGTCTATAGAACCGTTGGACAAACGCTGCAGGAATAGAAAAAGAAATAGCAGTTAAGGTTTTCTTTATCTTTAATTTAAAATTTGTGAACTTAATGAAATGAAACTTACTCTGCTCACACCGAGAAATAAGAAGATTTCAAAAGAATTAACTTTGGAGGAAAACTAAGTTTCTTAGAAAACAGTTAACTTACATTAAATATGAAGGCAGTTCAGTAATTCGCAAACAAGTTAACAGGTGTATTTGAACTGGAGATTAACAAATATATATATATGTATATATATGTATATATATATATATATACACCCACACATGCACACAGGTATATCTTAAAATAAGTGGCAATTATTATTTTCTAAATATTAACACACTTTATATTGATATAATACAAATTTTTTTAATTAATAGCTAAGGATACAAAAATGGTGAAATATTTTGTGATTTTCCATGCTTTATTCTTAAATACACTCAAAAACAGAATCTTACACAATATTTTTTCAAAGGTTTTCCTGCTGTGAATCTGATCTTGCTGGAACAAACATATAGCATAGAAAGTTTGATTTCTGTATTTCTATCATCACAAAAGTCTTAAGTCCATATAATCCACAGGAGGAGGCTAAAACGGGTTAAATATTTGGGGATGATCTTTCTATTTTCTGAGAGGGCTACCTTAGAAACCAAGGTGACCCATGTATTCAGAAGTAGGCCCTACAGATTTTATATATATATATATATGCATACATATAAATATGAAATATCTCAAACAGCTCAATAGTAATAAACAAATAACCACATGAACTGGACAAAGGACCTGAGTAGATATTTCTTAAAAGAATCTATACAAAAGGCCAGCAGATTCATGAAAAAATGACCAACATCACAAATTACCAAGGAAATACATGTTAGAATACCTATTATCAAAAAGCAAAAGATAAAAAGAATGACAAGAATTTCAAAAAAGGGAACTCTAGGACACTGTTGGTGGCAATGTAAATTAGTACAGTCATTATGGAAACAGTGCATAAATTCCTCAGAAAATTAGATATAGAACCCCATGTGATCCAATAATCCTGAATGAAAGAAGTATATTGACAGCATATCTGCACTCCCATGTTTATTGCATTACTCACAATAGCCAAGAAGTGGAATCAACCTAACTGTCCATTAATGGATGAATGGATAAAGAAAATGTGGAATATGTATACAATTGAATACTATGCAGTCCTTCAAAAGTAGGAAATTCTGTCACTTGTAATAACATGGAAGAATTTGGAGGATACTATATTGACTGAAATAAGCCAGGCACAGAAAGAAAAATACCACATGGCCTCACTTACATGTGGAATCTAAATGTCTATTGTCTTCTATGACAATAGAGTAAAAGGGGTGGTGGGGGTGTCAGTGAGGAAAGCGGAGATGTTAGTCAAACAGTACATGGCTTCAGAGAGGTGGAGTAGCCCTTAGTGAGATATTCACAGCACAGTGACTACAGTTAACAATAATGAATGTTCTAAAATCATTGGAAGAGTATATGCTAAATGTTTTCACAACAAAAACTGATAAATAAGTGAACTGATGGATTTGTTAATTTGGCTCATTTAATCATTTAATGATTTCACATTGTGCATATACAAAAAATACTACACTGTACCCCACTAATATACACAATATTTCTTAATTAAAAGCTAAAAAAAGAAAAATGTGATACACCATTGCTGCATTGGGAAAGTTTTATGGGGAAGATAATGTAGGAACTGGGGAGAAATAATGCTAAGAGAAGAGCACAATAAGCAGAAACAGGAGTGCATGGGTAAAATGCAAAGAGAGTACAGTTACTTCTGCTTCAATGCTTATTTTCAACAACATGCATTTGCTCTCACACCATAGATATTTTAGGAACAATTCAAACACAATGTAAATTTTGTGTTTTCTTAAGTGCAATTTTGTTCTTGAGAAGCAGTGGCTAAAAACAGCAAGTTGCACTCAGCTGAAGTATATTTTAAGTAGGAATAAAAAAATGCATGCATGCACATTGCTACGTAAGTTTCCTACAAGTGTTACACGTTTACCTAGCCATATTTTACAACTCCTCATTTCAGATGCCCCTTCTTCTAGCATTTCACAATAAGTGAAACTCCTTATCCTCTGGTGCCCACTTCTCCAATCACATTTCAAGTATTCTTCAGTGTGAAGAGCAGTATTTATTGTAGACATGGTGAGATTCTTAAATACTTAGCATGTGTCAAACTGTGCTACCATTTTTATTAATTTTCTCATGTTTTAGTGATATTAATAATCTTTAGTGTTGTTGTGGAAACCCAATTTCCCTCTCTAAGCCCTGTGAGTTTTTAAAATCTTCTCTCTTTTTAAATTCTTTCTCTTTCTTTCTATTCACACACACACACACAACAAAATGCAGCCATATGTCAAATCTGAAAAATAAATATGAAAGTAGAGTGGTTGTGACTACACCTGTGCTTTTTTACCATGCAATTTTATACAGTTCATAATTTTTTGGAATGTTATTGCCACAAAGAACAGGATTACAGTGGAAAAGGGGAAGATCAAAAAATATAAAAACTGAGAAGAAGAAAACACAGAGGAAGGAAATGTGAACAGACAGCAAAATGTGTTAATGGGTCCAATAACCTAAAACAAGGAGAGAATATGGAGAAACTTCTGATCAAATAAAAATTAAAAGGGCAGAAAAAGATGGAGACAGACTTCATTTCCTTTTTTCAGTTGACTGGAGCAAAGTCTTATCGTGAGGAGGTAGATGTTCCATTATCTGCAGTAACACGAATCTCAAAAATAGTATATGGAGCAAAAGAAGCTGCACCAAGCAGCATCTATTCTGCTATTGTACTGATAGGAAATGCTGAACTCATGGTGAGGAAACACGCTGGTTATTGTTTGGGTCTGGGCAGAGAGGGTGACACTGATTACAAAGAGACATGAGGGCACTTTTAAGGGTGAAAGAAATGTCCTCTATCTTGATTTGGGTAGCGTTTATACAGGTATGCAAATTTCTAAAATTCCAAATAATTACGTACATCAAACTGTATATAAAACATATATTAATAAAGTTGTTCTTTCTAAAATTTGAGTGTAAGGCACACACACACACACACACACACAGAGAGAGAGAGAGAGAGAGAGAGAGAGAATGTGCCCATCTACTGGTTCAGTCCCCAAAGCCTGCAATGGCCCTGTTGCTGGTGCTGAAGCCGAAAGTGAAGTGAGCATAGGGGAACCTGGAAGGGGTTAAAGCGATGAGCTAGGAACTCAATCCAGATCTCCAGTGTGGGTGGCAAGGACCCAATTCCTGAAACATCACCACGGCCGCCCAGAGTCAGCGTTGATGGGAAGCTGGAATCCAGAGCCTGAGCCAGGAATAGAACCTTCCCACTCTAACGTGGGAGGCAGGCATCTGAACTTGGAGCCTAAATGCTCACTGTTAAAGTTACTTTTTGTCTAAATCACGAAGACCATTAAAAAGTAAAGTTTTGTTTTAAAATGTTTTGAGGCTGGTGCTATGTGTAGCGAGTTAAATTGCCGTATATGGGCGCTGGGTGGAGACCAGCTGATCCTCTGATTCAGTTCCCTGCTAATGTGCCTGGGAGAGCGGCAGAAGATGGCCCAAGTGCTTGGGTCGCTGGACTTTTGAGGAAGCCCCACGTGAAGCTCTGGCTCTTGGCTTCGGCCTGCTCTAACCCTGGCCATTGGGGCCATCTGGGAAGTGAACCAGTGGGTGAAAGGCTTCACTCTTGCTCTGCCTCTGCCTCTCCCTCTGTGTAATTCTGCCTTTCAAACAAATAAATCTTTAAAAAATTTTTTTATTACGTTTGGATATCTAAATCCCAAAAGAATTTGTAGAAACTTAGGTAATCACATACAGGTGATCTGAATTAAAGTACAGAACTTGAGTTCCCAGTTCAGCTCATCTATCTTTACCACACTGCTTACAGTTGTCAAATATAAATCTACTGGATAAAATTATATATGATACATGGTAGAGACTGGTACTGAGTCATATATATACATATATATATGATGAGTGTACATGCATGATGTATGTATAGAGCCCTTTTGTGTATTGATTTCATTTTTGCATCAAAATAAACTTATTTTTCAATTCCACTTTCCAGGAACTTTTTGAAGTGCCTGCCTATGAGGAAGCTTCAAAAGATTTGTGGAAAATGTGCATTATGAAAAAACTATATGTATGGGTTTTGAAATATTTTGCCCACAAATAACTATCTTTTAATCTCAGTTTGCATGAACTTTTTGAAGTAGTTTCATTCCTACTCATATATATGATACATACATAATACCATAAAATATACCATATATATGTATATATACTTGAAAAACAGTTCTTCAGTGCATTAAATGACAATAATTTACTAATTAGAAAAGAGACTCCAATTCTGTGCACCTGAAATCCACTAAAATCTTGTTTTAAATTTCCAATGTTTTAATGGGCTTAAGATAGCATGAATTTGGGGCTGGTGCTGTGGCACAGCGGCTTAAAGCCCCAACCCGCAGTGCTGGTATCCCATGTGGGCGCCTGGTTGAGTCCCAGCTTCTCCTCTTCCAATCCAGCTCTCTGCTATGGCTGTGGAAAAGCAGTAGAGGATGGCCCAAGTCCTTGGGCCCATGCACCTGCATTGGGAGACCCGGATCTGCTATGGCTTCCAGAAAGTAGAGGTGGTCCTACTCCTTGGATCCCTGCACTAGCAAGGGAGACCTGAAAGAAGCTCCTGGCTCCTGACCTCTCTCTCTCTCTCTCTCTCTCTCTGGCTCTACCTCTTCCTGTGACTATGTCTTTCAAATAAATAAAATAATTATTTTTTAAAAAGCATGAATTTAGCTAAATAAAAACAGTAATCAGAAAACTAAATAAAGCACTTTAATTAGCCTCTCAATTTCCTTTAAGCAACAGATATGTACTACATGAGCTACTTTGGAATATGGGGCTATCCTGGGGAACTTCCGATATTTCAACTTTTTCTCTAAAGTGTTT